CACCATCAGCCTGTGGAACATCCTGAGGAACAACATTGGGAAAGACCTGTCCAAAGTGGCCATGCCCGTGCACCTGAACGAGCCCCTCAACACCCTGCAGCGTCTGTGTGAGGAGCTGGAGTACAGTGAGCTGCTAGATCGGGCCGCTGGCACCCAGGACCCCTTTGAACGCATGGTACAGTATGTTGTCATAATAATGCATTAATATTAGTATTATAGCGCACACAGCAAACCAGTGCATGTTAGCATCTTCAACTATGTGTTTTGTTCAATTAAAAGTATAATAAACTCACTTGCTTCAGTGATTCAGTATTTGGATGAAAATGAAACAACATAGTCTTATATACACTAAGCACTATTGTAGCTACAGTTGCCCTGGGGTAGACTAATGGAAGCAAGGCTAGAAATCTGCCCCATTGGCCCCTCTGACCACCACAAACGCACCACATTCACACTAGGCAAGATGGGTGAAGTGTCTACATAACTTATTTTTTGCATTATTTATACTTGCTCAAATGGCTATCCAGTTGTGATACTAGTTTCAATATGGATTATTGTGTTCAATATACACATTATATATAAAGCGTATAAAAACTGTTCCAGTTATATATTTCTGTAATGAAATTTAAGGTATGGTTGCTGTACCTTGGTGTCATACATTGACAGCATAAAAAATAAACTAAAGGCTCTAGTAACATTAATTAAAAACATAAATAAAAAAAGATAAAAATAGAAATATCCTGCCGATCTAGTGTTGGAAGCCAAAAGAGAAGTGGGCTCTTATTTCAATGTGTGTGGACTGTTTAGTGGTTTAAGCACTAAACAGAATAACTAAGAATAATGTAACTTTTATTTCAGTAGTAATACTTCATCAGTACTATTTTTGAAAATTAAAAACACAATATTTCAACACAATACAATTTCACATGTTTATTCTCATCATCTGATCCTACTAAGGATTCTTTTTTTTCCCAATTTGTTTAGGTTTACATTGCCACGTTTGTTGTATCAGGTTACGCATCCAGCTACTATCGCACTGGAGGAAAGCCTTTTAATCCTGTCCTTGGAGAGACATACGAATGTGATCGGCCAGATAAAGGCTTTCGGTTTCTGGCTGAACAAGTATGGATACATCCTAGTTTACTTCAGTTGCACATGTATTATTATGTATTAGATTATTATGTATTATTATTATAGTATCATTATTATCATTATTATTATTATTATTATTGTTCACTAAATATATATTTTTGCACAGGTCAGTCACCATCCACCAATTTCAGCCTGTCATGCAGAATCAAAAAACTATATCTTCTGGCAAGGTAAAGGAGTAAGTTGTAAATTATAATGTGTTTTACATGTGTTTTAACGGTTTTATTTTGTAGATGTAAGATGCAAGAATAAGTTTTGGGGGAAATCTATGGAGATTGTTCCTATTGGTACAACCCATGTTACTCTGACTGGGTATGTTAAGTCATGTTGGAATGTAAAGATATGAAGTTGTGTTTATTATATAACAATAAATGTATTTATAAAGATCTGGAGATCACTACGAGTGGAACAAGGTGACATCCTGTGTGCATAACATTCTGAGTGGCCAGCGTTGGATTGAGCACTACGGAGAGATCACCATCAGAAACACCAGCAATGATGTGTGTCAGTGCAAGATCACTTTTGTGAAGGTACAAGCTGAAATGTGTGTTTTCATTACAAATATTTAAAAGAAAAATATACTTATTTACATAGGTGATCTCACCAAAACATGCTAAAACAATGGACCTACTTGGCCTCATCTCAATAGCCACTTCACAGATGATGCCACAACCAGACAAACAAACAGGCACATGACCCGCACTCTACATTTAAACACTGTGTAAACCTGTCTCAGTTCACAGTCCCATTGCTATCCCCATTACAAGATATCCCCAGTTCAGCTCCATTTCCCAGCCTGTTCCAGTTCTTCTTTTGTTACCTCACCATTTTTCCTACAGCTGCCACTCATTCCAAAATCATCCCAGAGCAATCTATATATACTCCCCTTGTTCATTCAGTCTTTGCTAGATTGTTGACAAGTCAAGAGAGACACTCAAGCTCTGTATCTGAAACTCTGAAACTGAGGCTAGTTTATATAATAATGGTCTGAACAGAAGACGCAAAAGTGTGGTTGCATCTTTTTATTCAGCTTTTAGATGAGTGTTTTCGGGAGAAAATCTGCACTGTTAAACCGTATAGACTTGTGATCATCTGAAACCAGGTCTGTCTATATGAGATTCTTACTAAGTTTGATGAAGCTAAATGGTCGTCTTCATCTTGAATGAGTATACTTTAAGACAAAATTTTCTTTTCATCTAAACATTTCCTGTGTAACTTATATGTGTGATTTTTTTTGGAGTCAAAAAAAATAAATAAATAAAAAATACAGGACAAGTACTTTCTGTGTAGTCCAGATAACAATGACCTCATTATTGAATTAGGTTAATCTATTTGTTTTTATTTAACTTGTTTCAGTCCTAACTTACTAAGTCATTATAAAACTAACATGATAGGTGTCGTGTGATTTGACAAAACAATCCCATCCACTAGACTAAAGTACACTTTTTAGTTTAACTTGCTTGTATTTGTCCTTGCCGCATTTGACTTCAGTAAACAAAGACTTTGATAATCTTAGTTTAGCCCATATTTGCTTGTCACCCATTTCACTGACTTCCAAAGACTTCAATCCACAGACACATATGTAAGCTGTTTGCCCACACAAACTGTCCCTGTTTGTTGTGTTTTGTTGATGCTTTCACTAAAAGGAGAAGGTTAATTGCTTTGGCTTTCTCTGTTTGAAATGCCTCTTGAAGCTGCGCTGGACAGCAAGCCAAGACCTGTCAGATTTCATTATGCACCCCCATGGCTCATTATAGCCCATGCTTGACAGGCGGCGGGCAGAGGAGGTCTTTCACAGCGTTTGGAAGTAGGGCTGGACTATTAATCGAATTATTATCGAGATTAAAATTTCTAAGAAGTCTAATTGTCAATGATATGCCTTGGTCTTTTTAATCTAGGGGTCCTCTGTTCCAGTCCTCTGTCAGTAAAGGTGGAGCAGAGTTTGGAATTTAGAGGAACTTTAGAGGAATACATTGAACTGTTAAACTGTTTAGAGGAAAACTGTTTTCTGTGTTAAATGTCACTTGTCATGAATTTTGAGATTTTCATTGTTCGTGTTCATTAAATAAATATTGAAAGGCATTTTTATTTTGTTTTTGAAAATAAGAAAAATGTTTTGTTTAAACTCAAGATCGATCAGTATGAGGAAAAAGAGCCATATCACGCTGTATTCTGATCTATGTTATAATGTTGCTTCCTATCAGGAGTTGTGTTTTGTTTCATTCATACACTTTTAACACACAAATCATGCATATTTAGTTATTCTCTCAAACAGAAAACACTCTGTTCCACCTTGTGATGTCATGTGGTAATACAGGAAGTGCTCCACTGTGTTTTTAAACTCCGTACACCTTGACTAGAATCATTTGGGTGATTTCAACCCTGGAATTCCCAATCTCTATTGAACAAAAGGTAAAAGGTGGCTGTTAACCTCAAAACTACCACTACAAGCCATCACAAGGTGGAACTGAGTATTTTGAGCTATGGAGATGTAGACAGACTAATAGTAAAGGATTACTCAAACACGTGAATTAAACAAAACACAATTAATAACAGTATAACATGGCTAAAAACTCACAAGAATCAATTGAGAGTAATATACTATAATATAAGTATTTGTAGACATTGCACAATAATACATTTTTATATATTGCAGGCTAAATACTGGAACTCAAGTGTGAATGAAATCGAGGGAACTGTCACTGATAAAAAAGGAAAAGTTGTCCATAGACTTTTTGGAAAATGGCATGAAGCTGTGTATTGTGGAGATCCTCCATCAGCCACCTGTGTCTGGAGAGCAAGTAGGAATTCAAGCTTTTAAAGATATTTCAGTTGATTTGCTGCTGTTATTAATGGCTGTTTATAATACCTTTTGTGTTCACTATAGGTGCAATTCCAGTAGACTTTGAGAAATACTATGGCTTTACCAAGTTTGCCATTGAGCTGAATGAGCTGCACCCCTCACTTAAACTGCTGCTACCACCGACAGACACCAGACTGCGAGTGGACCAAAGGTTAGAATAACTGTCATAAAAGCATAAAAGTTTTTCAGATAAGGTATAAAAATAAGTGTTTGAAATTGTGATCAGTAAGAGTCAGATAAGAGAACGTTTTGATCAAACATACCACACACAGTCTGAGAAAGAGAAAATAAATCTAGGTTTGTCAAATGATCAAAAGACACATATTCTATTTTTATCACTATTTTAAAATAGCTCCAGGCTACATTTTCTTTTTGGCATATTTTTAAACTTTGGGAACATAGCTTGCCCAGGAAACTGCTAAGGAATAGACTCAATATTCAATACCAATTCCAATACTACACTGATAATAAAAAACACACTTTCTTTAGACATGAGAAAGCGATTTTTAACATAAGTAATAGTACTTTCTTTTACATTTGCTTATATTACTGTTGTGATAATAATAAAATGCAATCCCTTAGTTGGTCAGTTAGTTAGGTAGGTTCCATCGTGATCTATACGCTTATACTAATCTATGTAGTCTTATACTTGTTCTGATACACTTTAAGATCATCTAAAGCAATTCAGGAAAGTTTCATTTCTGTCCTCTGAATGTGACTTTTTTTTAGTATTGATATGTGCTCAAATGAGTACCAGATTTTAGATACTTTTCACAACCCTACACTATCCTATCCTTCTGTAAAAGTTTTCAAGATTGAAATTGAATGCACGAGGACTCTTACCAAAAGGGTTGAAAAGATAAGTGACACACATTAAAAATTCATTTTCCCTGAAAATCTGTTCTGGCAGACTGCTGGAGGAGGGGAAGCTGGAGGAGGCTGAGGAGCAGAAGCAGCGAATTGAAGAAATGCAAAGGGAGCGGCGCAAAACTCTTGAGGAGAGCAATGTGGCACACCAACCCAAATTCTTTAGGTAAGGAAAGGATTCATGGCACTACTATTTTGTTTTGAATTAAAAATTTTTCCGATTTATTTTTTAGTTTCCCCTTTAGAGTGAGGAGCAGAAGACTAATGGTGGTTCTCTTTAGTAAAAAAAAAAAAAAAAAAAAAAGCTCAACATTTATTTTATTTTATTTTTGCCAGTTTAATCACTCATGAACACAACACATTCAAGTGACTGAAATCCAGTGTCATGCCCAATGACACAGCAAAAGATCACACTGGAGTAGGATTTGCCCACCAGCCCTTATGGCTCCAACTGTTCAGTCACTGCCCATTCTGGATATATATCAAATCAATATTATACTGAATGATGTTTAAAAATTCAATAGAAAGATGCACTAAGATATCCACGGCAAAAATAATGTTGATAAAATTTGTAGAAAAATCTTGCATAGTCTTATAATACATTTCAGAGAAACACTGAATAATCCATATTTCTTGTGTGTCTTTCTTTGTAGGAAATCTAAAGACGACACGTGGGTCAGTACCAACACTTACTGGGAGCTGAGGACAGACCCAGGCTTTGGACACATAGACTTCCCAACACTGTGGTGATCTTGCAGAAGCCCACTGCACGGGCTCGGCTCAGTTTCTCTGTTGCAATTCATCATGTATGGCCTTAAATACAAGTGCTTTTTAAGTTACACACATTTTATGCAAGAATATAATGTAAAATTTGAATAATTACAGTGAATGTAATCATTGATCTCATTAACTAGAAATAGTGGAAAGCAGATTTTTTAATGAATTTACATGAGCTTAAGGAACAATGTTAAATTCAGCTGCTGTTTTTTTCATGGACTACCTCTGAAACATTATATCGGTTGCCATTACTTAAAAACAAATTATTCTGCATCCACATTATGCCTTAATGGTTATATCATGATTATGTTTTACAAGGATTGTTCATCTCTTGTTATGCTTTGTGTATATGTGAATTTGAGCTAAAATTTGTAGCAAGTCTTAAACCATTTCATTCGATGCAACAGTGTCTTCTACAACAATATGGACTGTCAGACTGATGTGTCTTAAACTTTGCTCCATGAGCTCCAATAAACAATATTGTTTAATGATGTAATTGCATTTATAGTTGGTTGCAATGTACATTTGAATTATGTAAGTGACTCATAATTTAATTTTCATCCAAATGCAGATTAATTGTAGCAGGAGTTTTATTAATTATTATTTTGAATAGCATCTGTGTGTAATGCACATTTTTAACAGAAAAAATATAGCAGAAGATTCTAGTATGGGTTGTTATTATCACTCACATTATATTTATTTCTTTATATGTCACTTTTGCATTGAATTTACAGCCAACGAATCAATATGACCATGTTGTCTTGTAATAATTACAATGCCATTTTATTATCATTATTACAGATATATTAATATATGGAGATATATTAAGAACAGTATTTCATACTATGTAGGGCCAATTAAATTGTTTAGATTAACATTTTAATTATAGATCAGTTCATACACTTTTTATTAGGCTATAGTTGTGTACGCCATTACCCCCTGCTCTCACTAATAATGAAAAATAATCTTTGAACACTGCACACATCACATGACGATACAACATAACACATGATTCAACTCTTTCTTAACATCCTATACTACCACTAGAGGGCGTCCGCAATGATCAGTACGTAAGCTTACGAAGCTTACGTAAAAAAAAAAAAAAAAAAAAAAAAAAAAGAACCTTATTTTTATAGTGCGTCAAAAAATGTAGATTTATTCATATTATTTGTTTTACTAATGAATTTATTAATTTTATTATAACACAATAACAATTTTGTTAGTTATTTAGTTCGCTTCCTAGAAAGAGGGAGGCGTGTACAGTAAAGGGGCGTCAGTCACTCTTTGTCCAAAACGACTTCTTCTTATGTTAAGCTTCTGAAGTCTGTTACAACTTGCCAAACGGCTCATTGTCTTGGTTGAAATACTGCAAAGTGCAAACTAGTAGAGGTAAGTCTGAGTGCCTGTTTTGCGTTGATCATTAAGAACTTTCGCTTTTTACAAACAACGTGTTCGATAAAAACAACACCGGGTTAGCGTTGCCTGTTCAGTGCATGTCCATAATTACACATTTATAGGCAGCTTATTACTTGATCAATATGGCTACAAATTACTGCAGATAATTATACGTGTTAACAGATTAATAACCTTTTAATTTCAGCAGTTTCGACATGTTTGCCACGGCTACGCGGAATTTTGTGGAAGAAGTGGATCGTGGACGCTCTCTCATACCGGTGTCCAGTTTGAATGACACGATTTCACTTTTAACTGTGGTTATAAAGAAGAAAAGATATTGGCTTTGGCAGAAACCCAAATATCTTCCCACGGATTTTACTCTGAATGATATTTTAGCAGGAGGCACACCAATACAACCAGGTATCACCAACTGTGTCTTTATTACATTAGAATTATCAATGTATTAGTATTGTTTTTTTCATTTACAGATATTACAGAGTCAGAATTTATCAAGTACAATGGCACATTTGGAGACAACATCCAAGGAAACGTTGGTGCAAACTTTATCCAAAACAATGTCAGTGTGGAGGGAAAAGACACCTCCAAATTGCAGTCATCATTTGGGAGCCTCAAGAAAGAAGAACTGGGCATGCCAAAACTTATTAAAGATTCAAAAGAAAGGTTAGTCTGTAAACAGGAAAAAACGATCTTTGTCCATCCATAAAATTGCAAAAAACAAAGAAGCTTTGGTTGATTATTAACACCATGACAGTAACTGCAAGCACTCTAAAAAGTATATACATTGTGTAGGATTCTATATATGAAATTATAGTTTATTTTAAGTTGTGCTGAGAGAAGATGATAAATGTTTTTCTTCATGTTAGACCAAGTAATTACAGATATATTTACCATAAATCAGGTCAAAACATCTGCAATTTGACAGTCATTTTCTACGTTTGAATTCTCGCCTGTTTTCCACTTCAAAATTAGGCTGCTTTCACACTAGTTTATGGTTTGATCCTGGTCTTGTCTTGGTTGGTGCACTCACATTTGGTCTTGATCTGGTCCTGATTCAAGCCACTTTAGACCTGATGTGGACTTGGTTTGATCCTGTTCTAGTCCTGGTTTAGTCTTGGTATAGTCCAACAGGTTTTGTTTATGTTTTCAATTTATCAGCTAGTCAACAATAATTTCTAATGTACTATTTTTACATTTTGATTTAACAATACCCCTATCTTTGTTATAAAAGGATTTTTTAGCATTTGTTTTAGAGTCCATACAGTCCAGATTATCAAAATTACAATTCATAGTTGTCTAGTCACAATTATTATAACATCACTTGACCTATTCTATTCTTAAACCTATTCTCTATCATTCGTCTTCAGGCTTTTGGACATGTCCCACTGTTTGGTTGAGCAGACTATGAGAAACAACAAGCAGGTGTTTGGGATTGTCAAGGAGCGCATTTTGACGACCCAACCATGTTCTGTCATTGAAGAAGTGCAGAAAGAAGGGCAATTTGGTGGGATGTTGACTGTATGTGGAGCCAAAGTCACAAAGGTATGCTATAAACATGTAATAATATGTTGTTCTCAAACTGTGGTAGCTCCTATGGATGGTACTGTTATTGCAATCTCAATAACATCTCATTGCACTGTGATACAGACCTTAAATTAGTGTTCCAAGACTTAAAAGGTGCCTTACATAGGTCTTTCAAACCTATGTAAAAGGTATCTAACTGAAAGTCTTGCTGTACTGATCAACAGTCTGTGGCCCTCTGAAAGAAATATGTTTCTATATGTTGCGTCCTTTGGTGAAAAAACAACTCTGGACACATTGGATTCAGTTGATCGTCAACTGTAAAATAAGTAATTAAAAATTCCTTAAACATTCACAAATCACTTCAAATACTACCTCGGGTGAGTAAATGCACTTGCTTAAGAGGTCTGCTTTCAGTTATGAAATATTCACATGTTTATGCCAGGTGTACAGGAAGTGCTGGCCACTAAAGTCTGGGTCACTTACTTTGGTGACAGCACTGAGTCATTATGGGTTAGCATGACCTGTTTTATGGGGCACAAAACTTCCTCAAAATAACCACGAATGAGAAATAAGATACTTATTTTTACTTACTCGTGCCTCATGATTTAAAAACTATTCATTATTGCTGACACTAAGGTAAACAAAAAGAAAATATTGAAATTTGTTAATTAGAGCATATTTAGGTTTACTTTTTGGAGTTGTAATTACATAGTTTATTTTATTCTCACTAATGCCATTTTAAAAATGTACATTTACTTTATCATTTCATAGAAAATATTACACATAGACTAATGTGGTCCAAATTAAATCTTACCATGTACAATTTTGACTGTGGATAGTAGTAAAATTAGGAAGTAAAATTTATCAATGGATGAGAGTGGGAAGGGAAATAAATAATTATACCAGTTCTGCATTTTATATACAAATAATAGATACTGTATTCTGAACTTTGCATTTTGACTGCTTTCTCAAGGTTTCACTGAAGGAAAATGCCAGCCTGAGCAAAGACAGTAATGTTACCATGGAGATCCCCCCTCATACCACGCTCGCCTACGCCCTCATTGAACTGGAAGTGAAGCATGATGGGCACTTTAGTAAAAAAGCAATTACTAAATTTAACAGAAATTCTGTGTCTGGTAATAATTTGTTTAAATAGAAATGTTCTGACGTTTCCATAGAGCTTTGTCTGATGTCAACTGTCAGTGGAGGATTTGAGGAAGTGGATAGCAATGGCCGTTTGGCTCCATTACACCACTCTGAAAAAGTTGACTTCAGACCAGGTAATTACTGGTAGCGTAACATATAATAGACATACCAAGACTATGTAACAATTCCTTTACTTTGCTGACTCTCTCAGAAACTATAGCCTTGCACTCAACTGTTTTATTTAAAAAAAAAAATACAGTCAACTGAACCTGGGTTGCCAGTGCATATAGAGGACACATGTTTTTCTCATTCTCACTATAGACAGATAGATAAATACTTTATCAGTCCCAAAGGAAACTCAGTATATGGACAGGCCAGGCCATCCATCCATCCATTTTCGTCCGCTTATCCGGGGCCGGGTCGCGGGGGGAGCAGCCTAAGCAGGGACTCCCAGACTTCCTTCACCCCAGACACGTCCTCCAGCTCCTCCGGGGGGACCCCGAGGCGTTCCCAGGCCAGCCGAGAGACATAGTCCCTCCAGCGTGTCCTGGGTCTTCCCCGGGGCCTCCTCCCGGCGGGACATGCCCGGAACACCTCCCGAGGGAGGCGCCCAGGAGGCATCCGGAACAGATGCCCGAGCCACCTCAACTGGCTCCTCTCGACGTGGAGGAGCAGCGGCTCTACTCCGAGCTCCTCCCGTGTGACTGAGCTCCTCACCCTATCTCTAAGGGAGCGCCTAGCCACCCTGCGGAGGAAACTCATTTCGAGCGCTTGTATCCGCAATCTCGTCCTTTCGGTCATTACCCAGAGCTCATGACCATAGGTGAGAGTAGGAACGAAGACTGACCGGTAAATCGAGAGCTTCGCCTTTTGACTCAGCTCCCTCTTCACCACAACGGTCCAATACAGCGACCGCATCACTGCCGAAGCTGCACCGATCCGCCTGTCAATCTCACGTTCCGTCCTTCCCTCACTCGTGAACAAGACCCCGAGATACTTGAACTCCTCCACTTGAGGCAAAGACTCCCCACCCACCCGGAGAGGGCAAGCCACCTTTTTCCGGTCGAGAACCATGGCCTCGGACTTGGAAGAGCTGATCTTCATCCCAGCCGCTTCACACTCGGCTGCAAACCGCCACAGGGCACATTGCAGGTCCTGGTTCGATGAAGCCAACAGGACAACATCGTCTGCAAACAGCAGAGATGAAATCCTGTGGTCCCCAAACCGGACCCCCTCCGGCCCCTGACTGCGCCTAGAAATTCTGTCCATAAATACAATGAACAGAACCGGTGACAAAGGGCAGCCCTGGCGGAGTCCAACATGCACCGGGAACAGGTCTGACTTACTGCCGGCAATGCGAACACAGCTCCTGCTCCGGTCATACAGGGACCGGACAGCCCTTAGCAAAGGGCCCCGGACCCCATACTCCCAGAGCACCCCCCACAGGACACCACGAGGGACACGGTCGAATGCCTTCTCCAGATCCACAAAACACATGTGGACTGGTTGGGCAAACTCCCATGAACCCTCGAGCACCCTATGGAGAGTGTAGAGCTGGTCCAGTGTTCCACGGCCAGGACGAAAACCACACTGCTCCTCCTGAATCCGAGGTTCGACTATCGGCCGGATTCTCCTCTCCAGTACCCTGGCATAGACCTTACCGGGAAGGCTGAGGAGTGTGATCCCCCTATAGTTGGAACACACCCTCCGGTCCCCCTTCTTAAACAGAGGGACCACCACCCCGGTTTGCCAGTCCAGAGGTACTGTCCCCGACCGCCACGCGATGTTGAAGAGGCGTGTCAGCCAAGACAGCCCCACAACATCCAGAGACTTAAGATACTCAGGACGGATCTCATCCAAACCCGGGCCAGGCCTCATGTGAAAACTCAGAACCTCCAGAATTCAGCCCTTAAGTCGCAGAGGCTGCACTACCACTGATTGGTGCAGGTGCTGTGGTTTATGCAGTGAGGAATCAAATCAGAGAGTGTCCATTCAGGTTCAAAACAATTGGATTTTAACCCAAATGAGAGACTCGCGTGAGGCTCATTCTGCTTTTTGATTGGGTAAACGTATTGAAGTAAAGCTATAACGCTATAAGCTCTAGAAGGCTATAAGAATAATTAAGAATACATACAAATTACAGCTGATATGAGTAAAAGCTGTATTTGAATTGAACATGTTTACCTTGTATCTAGGGACACAATTGAAAATCTGTCCCTTTAGACTCTGGGTTACAATATTTCTGTGATGGCAGCAAATATGTTTTAGAGTCACTAGAAAATATCAAATCATGTTCTTTATTTTATTTTTGGCAGTTCTGGAAGAGTTTAAGGAATATTTCAAAGTGCTTTCAGCCCTCCCATCTCAAACCAAATCCTCTCTGCTCCTGCAAATCACAGAAGTTATAGATGATCGCACAGCTCTGTCTTTACTTCAAAACTCTGTAAGAAAAACTCAAAGCTATATAACAAACTACAGTATTTTACATATTCACATATATGCACATGTTTGTTTTCTTAGCTGCACCACTTGTGTTACGGTGGTGTCTCTGCTTCGGTGGAAGAGCATCAACAGCAAATCCAGGACATTTTGGACTTGGTTGCACAGAGTGGTGCATCCAAAGACGCTGTCATCAAAGCGCTTCACCTTGTTCTGAGTGCAGTAGATGGTCAGTTAGGATTTTTGTGCATCATTGTTGAATTGGTGTTGACTGTTCAGTTGATGAATTTTATTCTTCTCTTTTCCACCTCAGAGATGTCTAACAAGTGTCTAGCTTTACTGCGAATGTGCTGCAGCTCTGCATTACTGCCAGACCTAGAACTACTGGTGAGTTTTTTTTTTTTTTTTTTTTTACATCACCGTTCAGAATACAGTTTATGTCCATACAACTCCTGTTAATTTCAGTATCTCTTGCTACATGGTAGCAGGCTGCAGTTAATGTTTTTTTCCCATTTGGACAGCTTCTTTTTTATTACAACATGTCATTGTTGTCCTGAGCAGGGTGTGTTCATTTTTATAAAATTATTTTATTTTATTTATCTGATCAATCAAAAACACCTGGTGACACAAGTTTGTTAATCGGTGAATTTTATTAAGTACATTTTGTATTTGGATGGCAAAGTACTTTTTTTTCCTTTGCCATTTTTTGGCATAATTTTCCTTGCAACACCTGCAACAATCAGTCAGACACCAGCTTATTCACTCACACAATATTTACTACAGAACTGAGGGGTTACTTGTGTTTTTTCTGTTTAGGTACAATGTTTACTTGGAGATGGACAGCTCCCCCTCACAGCCATGAGACAAACTACTCTGGAAGAAGAGGTTTTTGACAGAGTGCAGTGTCTGTTCAGCTCCTCAAATGTGTTTTTGAAAAAAGACGGAGACTCTTTAAGGACAGAGGTGCAGCAGGAGGCAGGAAACCTTCCCATCATCCTTTGCATCGCTCTGAGGGGTCTGGCCTCATTATCACAGTGATGTTCTCAAGTGATTACATAACACTGCCTATGTGACCTCCTTTTGTACCTGCATGCATATCTAACATGTTTTTTCTGAAAGGTGCTCTATGTAATTTTTCAGGTGGAGATTTTATTGCATTGCTTGGAATATTCCAATGTACAGCATTAAACTCACCTCCCAGTGAATCACTTACATGTGTTTTATGCTAAATCATACCCTGATAAGAATATTCTTACTGTGACTGGGGTCCTTCTCCATAGATCTGACCTGTAATTTGACCTGTTGGTGTCTCCTGCTTGTGATGGACCCTTCAACAGAAGTTACATACTGCACCTTGAACTTTGTTCACTTCATTTACTGCCTTTTTTTATTCACTGCCATTCTCAGTATACACATTTTAAATTCTTTATGTATGTGCATGGGTAATACTTTTATGTTTTAACATGTATTTTTAAATATTACTTTTATTTGTGCTATCATATTTTATAACTACTTAAAAGTAAGATTTTGTGGATGAGAATTTAACCTATAAATAGAAGCATACCTGCAGCATTTGTGCTTCTTTATGGTTTCTCATTATAGAGTATGGTGACCTCTGTATAATGTTTAGATTTTCTATCACATGTTTTAGAAGCAAGCTAGACAACAATCTGCTAAAACTGAATGCAAATGCTGCAATCCAGGTAGTTCAATGGACTTAATGTCAGCTACTTCTTAATGTAAACAACAAAGCAGTGATAGTTTCAGATCTCATATTTAAACCAGTCTCTTAACAGAAAGCATCAGAAATGAAGAAGTTACTTGAATGACTGGAAAATTGTATTCATACAATTTAATAACTTTTGTTAAATAATAATTAGTAAAGTCTCAAATGTTGTGGGGCTAAATGTGTGATGTTGATAAAAGATAGAAAAGACATTTAGAAAAACATTTATTCATGTGAAAAATACATATTCTTTGCCATCTGTAAAAGATCAAATTACTTTAAAACTGTTATTTAGTAATATTTCATGAAAGGGGTATGGTTCACAGAGATGTTCCCTGCTAAATTCTCTGAAAAAGTATATCTCAACATAAACCTTCAAATCATGAAGAGGTTTATCAGACCTAAGAAATCTAATAATACAGAAAATGATTTAAAATGAATTAAACACATTTATATTGCATGAAATCTTGTATAACAAAGTTTACAACACTGACATGACATTTACAGTTTTTCTTAATCGCTTACATTAACCAAATGTATTATGCAACACAAGTCTAATCTACTAAGACACAATGCTAAAGTTAGAGTAAGATTTGTATTTGCAACTTTATAAGAAATCTTAGTAGCAGATTCTCAAAACAGAACAGGACAATGCATTGTGACCAAAGTGGCTTTAAAGTGTTTCGGTTACAAATAACAGGCAGGATAGCACAACAAATTTGTGCAAAGTCAGAATAGTCAAAATAAAATATTGATATAAAAACTAGGAAAAAAAAGTTTTACCAAAATCTGAACCATTGTTTTATGTTTGTCATGGCTTTATTTTAAAATTTCTGAGCCATTTTTATAAAATGAAAATACACAAAATCTCCCCTTAAAATACATACTTGAGTTTAATCGCAATTTAACTCTCTTTTACCAGTTATGATACATGCACATTTTAATTCTGGACGAAGGAAGAAGAAGTACTAATAGTGGAAGTAAGCCATCTCTCACCAATAATAATTATGTAATTATATGGTAAACATGTTTTAAATGTGTGTTGACAATAATATACATTTATACACATATGTTGCCATCTTTCTTGAGCATAAAAATGTCACAATTGAGAAAAACTGTAACTCGAAGGACCACTAAATTAACTTTGTAACGGCACAATTTAAAGATGAATGGAAGTAGTATGTAGTGATGTCCTGTAAACCATAACACTGAGGTATATTTTCACTGAGCAAGCCCTTGTTAATTTGCCGGATAAATATTTAGACAATTTCAGATGCAAAATAACAAAATACGGCAATCATCTTTAAAATATACTGCCTCTCAGTGTTTTCAGTAAGATGACTGCCAACTGCAATCAGTTTAAAAATACTACACAAATAAATAAGTACACTTACATGGGTTGTGAGTTGCATAGTCTGCTGAGAAGACAAATACACACCAAGCTGCTATTGAACTCCTGCAGTGTTAAACTTTTCAGGTCCTGGTCAGATCTGGGCCCAGAGGACTAGTCTGTCCAATGGCAGCACGTTAGTAGACCCAACTGACAGGAACCCACTGTGGCTCTTCAAACAAACGCTCCACTGTGTCCTGCAGCTTGTCAAAAGCTTTGTCAAGATTGTCATTGACAATAGTTAGGTCAAAATAGTGGCTATAAGCTCGACGAATCCTAGCACTTTCATCCACAGTCTTCTTTAGATCATTTTCCTGTCAATACAAAATGTAGTGAATGCATCATTAGTTTCTATTAATTCATTTCATTATTTTAGAAGTATGCATTTTAAGTAAACCCACTGTGAGTAACTTGGTTGTTAGTCCAGCATCTACCACAGCTTTGTGCATATCTCTTAGAGTGTCCAGCTCGGGAGCTGCGATGAATACTACAAATGGCATGAACTCTGCAGTTTTCAATACTTTCAAAGCCTGGACAAATAGAAGACTGTTACTGACATTTTTTAAGTCATCAAAAATTTAAAAAGGGGTTTTATACAAACCTGAGGATTCACATCCAGGATGCAGGTGCGACCAGCTTGAACCACCTCATGGATTGAGTCGATCTTGGTGCCGTAAAGGTTTCCATCATACTCGCCGTGCTCCAGGTACCGGCTGTCCTTAATGTCCCGCTCCATCTGCTCCCGTGTCACAAAACAGTAGTTCTGCCCATCCCTCTCCTCCTCCCGTGGGGGCCGTGACGTAACTGAAGAGGAGCCAACGTTAGTGTCTTCTGAACACAGGGAATCTAAGCAGCATCACTCAGACACCTACAGGGCACCGTGGTCCCATATCGCAGCGGGTTCATGACAATTAGCCTGTTCTTCAAGCTCCGCCGGCCAACTCCCTGAGCGCCAATTAGAACCAATGTTTTTCTCTGGAAAGGTGGCATTCTGGTTACCTCTTCATAGATCTGCAGCTCATATCGATCAAATTCTATTTAAAAGAGGTTAAAATTTAATTTTAATTTACACATACAAGTAAATGAGAACCATTAAAAAAAGGAGATTAGAGCCACAAAAAACATAGAAACTTAGAATAATGTTTCCTACATACCTGCATTTTTTGAAGTAAGGTACATAATTTTTTTCTTCTTTTTCTTTGACATTCGAATTCCACAGAACAAACCTAAGGGATAGAAAACAGTCAGTGTCCACTTGGGGGCGACAAGTAGCAGAGAATAAGATAATCATGAAGTATTGCTTTGAGTGTTTGCAATCAACTGACCAGTGCCAGATGTGTCCCAGTCTCTTCTCACAAAAGCTTTTCTCTTTTCTTCCAAGAACTGACTCGGAATCAGACCTGTGCCTTCACCGACAACCTTACGGGCCTACAAACAGAAAGAGTAGTATCTAAAACAATTTTTTTTTAGGAAAATGCAATATACTTTTTATTCGTTATGTTTACTAGCTCACCTGCCACCAGTTGGCATCCTCTCTGTTGACTACATGAAGAATTTCTCCTTTAGAAAAAGCCAGTCCTGCCTCTTTACAAGGAATCAGGTTGTCTGTGGCTGGGTTGTAGTTGAAGTGTGGTTTCAGAAAGACCTAAGAACAAATTCATTTACTACAACAAAAATAATATTTTGCGGATTTCCCAATGACATTGACTAAATATGGTCTACAAAACATACAAGTTTATGTTTCTCTCAAGAACTGCCCACTGCTGAAAGCCAACTACACTAGCGCTGACACAAGAACCAAGGGGGTGACATAATAGTCCTACAAGCTGTGTGTGCGCATGCCAGCTGCTGTCAGTGCCTGTTACTGTAAGGAGTGGGGGGTGCCTCAGGAAATAGTGGTGTACGTCCCAGATAGTGTGTGGAGTGATAATTATAGATGGTCTGGTCTCAATTTTCAAAAGCCAAGCATTCTCCGGTCACACAGGTCAACCAGCATTCATTCAGTCTCAGGTAAAGTGCACTCACTTCTAAAATGGCTTAAACTGTTGATTTTACAGTTTATGATAATTACTTTAAATCTACATTTGCAGAGCAGTAAAATGCATGTATGCTCAGTAGTTGTACCTGTGGTGGAGCCGGGGCATCTCTGTAACTGGGAACAACTTTGAGAGTGATGCTGCCGCTGCTCTGCTTCAGCAGCTCCTGCAGCTCTTGCGGGTTACAGCTGACCTCGCGGCCATTCACCTCGCGGATTATGTCACCCGTGTGGAGCATTCCCTGTCGGTCAATCGAACTGCCGTGCAAAATGCGTGCAATTACCAAATCTCCATTCTCTACTCGGAAAGTCACTCCCTAAAAGGAAAATAATATATTTGTAAGGAGTGTTTGTATTGGCAGTAGCAACAACAAAGTAATTGTCTATAACTTACCAAGGGTTCTCCAGCTTTCTTCTGAATGCCAATGATCCTGAAAGCATCAGCTGGCATGAATGAAGTGGTAGTAGTATCATGGTTGACTGAAGCAGCAGGCATTTCGTAGCACTTCGCAGCAACTTTGTCATGAGCCTCTATCAGAGACTAAGACAAGAACAGACACTTGAACTTAATAAAGCAAAAAATAAACAGTAGAAAAATAAAATTGTGAACAAAAAAATGGAAACGCAACATCCCTTACAGTATTATAATAGCAAGAAACTACAATCAAAACTAAAATAAATCTTACCCCAAGAGTAACTACTCGAAGCCTGCATTGGTTCAAGTGCCAAAGATGCAAAAGCACATGAGAAGATTTACTAAAAATGTTATCAGTCTCTCCTACATTTACCAGTGTGCACCATGCATGCCATTGGCCAAAGAACACCCCTCCTTACAGTGTCACAGTTTGTAAAGGGTGGAGACTAGAGGAGTGATAGGCAAGAGGAGCTGGCTCAAATGCACTTCATGCTGGATTAAAAAAAGCTGGGTGAAAAGCTATGACAAGTTTCTCTGGATAAAAAGTTACTCTCAAAGATTCAAGAGCAACAGACGTAAAAAATGCATAAAGAAATTACCTGAAAGTGTGGTTCTTGGAGTATTTTAGCAAGTTCTTCAGCAGCAGTATTTTTCTCAGACAGGTTAGTGAGAGAGGTGAGAATATCAGTAACTAGTTGAATGTTGTCGTCTCGAACAGCTTCTAACTTCTTGTCCTCTAGACGCTCATGGGCCTTTAGTTGAATAACAAATAAAAATAATGAAAATACATGCATATTGATTATTAAAATGGCATCTTACTATTTATTAAACCTATTGATCTCTGCAGTATAGACTTTGTATATTTTGGCACTTTGGGGGAGTTTTTTCATTACCTTTGCAAGAGAGCGCACAATGGGACTCTCAATGACACCACGGAGAAAGATTAAGTCAATATCTTTGGCTCCTGTTCCCACTGGCAGGTCTTTTAAATTGTCCAATATCTGCTGCATGGCTTTAAGGAAACATCAAGCACAAATTAAATGTTGCATAGACTTCTACAATCTCTGTGCAGTATAGTTGTTGAGCAAATGTAGGTTTGTGAGGCAAGAACAAGCTGACAATGAATGAACCAATTCACAGAAAAGATGACTCACTGCAACAGTGACAGGCACGTTATGTTACAATGGAGCTGTTTAATAACTGCTCAGTTACAAAGACTCATAGTAATAAACTTACACTATACATTTACATTAGATTCAACTTTTGGACTTACCAGTTCCAGATTTCGCATTGGCAACGGTCATGTTTTTTCTTCTCAGCTCAGCACAGCAAACTCATGATGGAAGAGCTACAGACACATAACCATAATTGCTTTTAATGTGAATGGTAGTGTCTCGTGGGAGTACAAAATTATTAAAAGAAAGGCACAAGACCTTAAGCCTTAAGTAAGTAAGTAGTTAAAAATACACAAAGCCAAACGTGTAATTTGATTGAAATAGCATACCAAGAAGAATCTCCCTTTGTACAAAACATCAGTGCAAATCAGAGCCTTGTTTTTCTTTGCTTCAGGCCCATCTGGTTCTCGTCCTGAATCAAAAAAAGTAACCTAAGGTTAAACTCTTTCATTTAGTAGCAGGCCCATTTTTATTCACATAACTTAAATAGTTTGACAATTATAGTAAGTTACAGGATCAGCTTGAGCGTACAATCAGGTCATGATAACTACATTTTATGGACTCCTCCTTATAAAGGGCCAGACAGTATGGGCTACAGTTTAGAGAATGAAACAGCCAGATCTACTTGAAATAACTTTCCTTACATAGCCCCAAACTAAGTGGATAAAAGTGATGCAGCGTGATTTAGGTCACCTTTACTTAGCTGGAGTCGGAGTCTTGGCATAATGTCTGACAGAAACGTAGTTCAAAGAAGCAAGAGAGTGAAGATTCACAGACCTTAAAACTCACATTGCACAAGACACGTGTAACCAATGTGAGGCAACACAGGAGGAGACGATAGGAAGCCATTGGTAGCTAATTAACAATTCTTTTTGTTACCAAAACAGCATCCAATACAACTATGTTGTTTTAATTTAAACCAAACTAAAGATAAAATAAATGCTGTCACGTATACATAATAATCAATAATCATGTTTTACAAGCAATATCATATTTGATGCTAGTAGTGTGGCTAGCTTAGGACTGTTCCAGACTGGATTGCGAAGTATAATACTAGAGATGTTGTATTTTACTACGTTTTTAAGCAAACAATATAATGATAGCCTATGTCATTCGAATATTGTAACGTTTAACATCACTGGATCACAAAAACGCAACACGAAATTAGCTGGTCATTAGCTAGCTTCCCCCGTGTAGCCCGTATGCTAACGAGTACTACAGCGAGCGTAAAAGTGAGGCGATCCCCAACAGAGGTTTTATGAATGAAATCAATGAGTGTTGTCTTACCAGTCGTATCTGAGTGGGCCTGTTGCGTAATTAAACTTTCCTTCTTTTCATGACTCCAGAATAGTAACTTAAAACAGAGATCTCTCCAAGTGATTGCCCAAAAGCAGCGCTCTTCCTCCAGTGACACACGCCGCCGCCTCCGCCGCTCCGCCGCAGCCAAAGCGGAGCGCACACCGACACCTCAGTCACGCCAAACACTCTACGGTCCACACTGTCCAAATAAAACTATTGGTTTGTAAATTCTTCCGCAAATAACACCTCAAAATAGTGAACAAAATACTACGCGGGCTGCTACCGGATCTAGGAAGACGATGTTATCAAACTTTTGAACCTAATCATTACTAGACTTGTGTAAACCAGATCTATCCGGGACAATCTCACACAGTAAAAGGAGACGCTATAACTTAGAAAGCAGGGAGATACATAAGCAGCCTAGAATTCACTTTACCTTCATTATTTTTTTAAAGAAAGAAATATTTCTACGGTAGCAAAAGAAATTCAAAATTCTATCACAAGAAATCAAACATGCCACAGTGTTACCATACACGTTTTGAGTCATATTATCCAAGGATTTAAAAAAACACAATGTTTTTAAGATAAAACAAAATCAATATTTATTTAGTATTTTTACACCACAATGGTTAAACACTCCATTACGTTCATGTTACACGCTACTTCCCGAGCTCTGTTGTATTCTATCCTTTTGTCAGTAGAGGTCACTATGACTCCATTATTTACCAAAACAGCTGCAGGGACTGGTGGATTAGAAATTAGGTAATCACAGACAGGAACACCTTGACACATTTTTTATTGCATGCACGTTGCAACATAATGAATTAATTATTTTTTAAATTATTATTATTGTGTCTGGGATACAAATGCACAGACCTTTCGTGGGCTTATAAGACACCATAAACATACAATCAGTTGCCAGAAGTGTGTTACTAACACAAATTAATTCATTTAAACAATCTAGTCTGCCGTTTCTTCCAGGCTTTACACAGAAATGATGCCAACTTATAAATATTAGAGTTAAACAATCATTTAATCTTGCTGTCATCATTACACCAGAACATAACATATAAATTAATTTAAGTGTATAGGCACATGGCAGTGACAAGTAGTGAGTAATCATTTTACCATAAGAATGGCAAACCATCAAACCTAGAACAAATGAATATTATTAGACATAAATAATATACTTTGACATAAAATTACAAGACATGTACGATGCTTACATAAGCCCTATTTAAAGAATTAATTATATAAATAAAAGCTTGTAAATCATAATGAGATAATTGAGATCACTAACCCATTATAATTATCTCCTGGCATATTGTCCCTCATCAGTATATCTGGAAATCCATTGTCTGGGATGTCCCTCTTTCCATACCTGTCGAAAGAAGACAATTAAATTACTCCATCATGATGACAAACTGTTTCATCTATCCATTAGCAAACGGACCTCTGCCGTGTAATAAGGTTGATGTAGTGTCTTATTGCAGAGTAGTATTTGGCAAGCTCCTCAGGAGGAGCGCCTTCTTTGGGACTAGTAGGCTTCACTGGATATGCCTCCGAACCCAAAAAGAGACACACCAGAAGGCAGAAAGCCAGAATATTCAAGGACATCACTGCTCCGGACTGGTTCCTGGGTCACACACACATAAAAAAATTAAGATTACATTAATATATTCAACACTTACAGAATACATTTTTTGTCAGTATTACAATAACTTATAACTTACATTTTTATAGACGCAGCTTTAGTCTGATTACTTACTGCTTCTTCCACGAATCTTATAAGCCCAGTATTTTCTTGGACTTATATAGCTTGCATCTGATGGGAGGGTGGATGACTCTCTCTCTCAACAGTACCTCTGAGTAACTGACTGTTCTTCACTGATTCAGTAACTGATACTACATTTTAAAATGCCATGTTGCTTTGGAGAAAATTGTGAAATTACAATGTACATTTATCTTGTGTGTAAGGGAAAATATAGAAATAAAAACAATCCAAAAATTGGATTTAGATTATCATTAACTCCTTGAAGATATAGCAATAAAATGTTTCATGCTGGTATTGCTGGTATGGTACCTTATGACCCAAATGTTGCTCTTACAAAACAGTTTAAACCATCTTATTTACACTTGTACAAAAACAGGAGGTAAATGCTCAAGTCCACTAACTTTGAGCTTTTCAGATAACAGGGTGCAAAAGCTTTCAACCCCTTAACACCAAGACAACTTTAATAGCAACTATTTTCTCTGAAGAGCACTCTGCAGAAATTTTATCGAAGATTGGTGTGGTTGTTTCCTTTGACTGTCACTTTAGTTTTCACTCAGACAGCAGGGTCCATTTTTCACTAAAGTACTGATAAAAACTGAAGTATAACAGTGGTTTACTTGATATACCATTTTGGGTACTATAAAATGGCACAAGTGAATACTATAGTAATGACGATCATCATCAATAAACTCAATTCAGATATCTAACATTTTCTAAATTGTGTAAAATCCTAGAGGTACAAAAACATTTCAGTCAATTGTTATAATTTATTTAATAAAAAGGCTCAATAATTCTAGACTTTCACAAACTATAGAAAGACACACATGATTTTTATATTTAGAATCACTTTGTAACTTCAAGATCATAGATAAAATCTTCTGGTAATCTCTCCATGGGCATGTTTCTTAGTTGTTCATCATAGCTGCGGAGTGTCCATAACTTCTCCAGTTCATAAACTTCCCTAGACTCCGGGAGCATGAAATGAACCACCATATTGCCTAAGAAAAAGAAAAATCATGAGAAGAAGAACAAAAGCAAGAACCAGTTATATAAAATAATATTCAAAATGACATACCAAAGTCTATACACATCCAGTCCTCTGTGTCTTTTCCTTCAATTTTGACATGTGTTTGATGATTTTTCTTCATATATTTATACTGAAAAGAAACAAAAGTCCTATTCAGAAACGTGAACCAGAGACACAGTAGTAAAAAAAAAATAGATATATTCATATCTGAAATTGAAATGTCACTTTACCACTTTGATAGCATAAAGCGCCATCGCCTTGAGGTGTCTAGTTGAGTAGCCACTGACGACAATTAAGTACTGTGCATAATTAATCTGCTTTGGGACTTTGACAACACAGAGGTCCAGTGCATTTTCCTGCTTCAGAAGAGCCACCAGTACGTCAAGAGAGAAATCCTGAGGTGAGCCTATAGGAGCACAATTTATTAGGTTAGAAATGATTTACACAAGGGAAATCACTTGGACAATGCACCTCAAAATACTAGCAAAAAGTCACGATAAGCAGTATTAAAACTATAAACTAGTGACTTTTTAAAACATTATCTGGACTCTACAAATTCAAAAATATCCACCGAAAGATTTTTTATAACAAAGATAGCAGTGTTATTATATCTTGTCCTAAAAAGAAACAATGTATTACTTTTAATCAACAATACACTTAATTTGATAATTTTCTGTCTCAAAGCATTTAGCTAGTCTTTATTTATATCTTTATTATCTGGTTAAAATGAATTTTAAAAACAATACAATTACAATACAGGAATAATCATTGGACTAGTCGATTAATCAAATATACAATAGCTGACTAATTTACAACCAAAGATTGTCAGAAATAAAATAAAAACATAATAAATAAAAGGACAAAAGATAAGATTGTTAAAAATAATTCACTATAAACATAGTATGAAGTGAAAAGTATGTGGACCAATGAGCATTAACATAAAGGTTCTCTTATTCATGGATTTTAGCCGTTTCATTTAAAGATGACATTTTGAGGACAACAATTTTGTTTTAAATTTGCAATTCCTATGAATTTTTCATCATTCTGAAATTCACGTAGGCCTATGTTAATGTTAATTCATATCACTTAAATAGTAAATAACAACAGACCCATTTATTTTTAATCTGTCACACCTTGTAACCTATTTTAATATTGTATTAGTCATAACTCCCCTTGATCCCTTGTATAGCTGTCACTGAAATTCATGGATTAACATTAACATAGACCTACACAAATTGAAATAGTAAATAACACACCCATTTATTTTTATCCTCACACACCATTTAACCTTTAAGTATATTTTAGTGCTCATAACTCACCTTGATCCCTTGTGTAGCTGTCACTGGAGTCACTTGTCGGATCGGTTTTGGACAAATGGTTTAAATCACTCGTGTCTGAAAAGCCTCTGAAGGGACACACTGTGCGCCTCTGATGTGTCCACAAAAGCACTGGAGCTCGTTTCCACAGAAGACTTTGGCACCGGTAACATTTCTTTGAGGTGGTCGAGTAACTCTCAAATCTCGTCTTTGGCAAAACGCGACTAACATATGACAAGGAGAGCCTAGACAGAGGTTTAATGTTATTGAAAATGTTCATCTTGCAGCTTATAGTAAACATTGAGCATGGCTAAAAACAGGAAGTAGAAATGTGATCTGAAATTTGATTGGTTGTTGTCCTTCTTCGTGTTTGGTTCTCAGTGGTTTGGTTCCTTCTGCTTACAGCGCACTCTGCTGTTCACGATGCTCATAGATTCTAATTGTAAGTTCTATTATTGTAGTAAGTGAATAGAAGTGAAAAAAAAAAAAAAAGTCACTCAACTTTAATCCAGAATAGTTCCAGTATAAAATGCCATGTTTATTTTGTGTGAGGTTTACAAAGCTGACAGGTTAAAAATCATTTTCCATTTATTGCAGTATAAAAAGCTGAATTTAAAAAAGACAAAAATACCATCTTATACAAAAGTGGAAAGGCCTCAAAAGGCCTTGCAATTTTTTAATTCCTAAAATATAAAATCAAGCATAAATTACTGTTAAACATGTATTCCCTTACATACCCTTATCCCTTATTATATTTGTGTAAACCTGAGTTTCATTCCTCAATAGTCTCTGTGTCCTTTTTTACACCAAGTCTGACACTGACGGGAATATGATCTGTAAGTCCGGCCAAATGAGTTATAAAATGCACCTCTTCTATTTCCTAGAAGAAAGGCAAAAAGAGCTTTAATTATTCTTCTGATTATTATCATAAAAGACCATAAGACAATAAGACAATGGAAAGTAACTCACCGTTTTGTAGTGTTTTGACAGTGAGCTTTGACTGTACAAAATGTAGTCAATTCTGCGCCCAATCCAAGGCTGACCATTTTCAGGGTAAACCAAGGGTTGTCCTGCAACTGGGACAGGAGGAGAAATGTACTGCTTCCTCAACTTCTCGTCTCCAAGAGTTCTGTTTAAAATAAGACAAAATAATTTGTCATCAACCAGAGATGGGGTTCAATTGAAGATTTAGGGCTGCAGCTAACAGTTATTTTTCTTATCAATGAAATGGCGAATTTTATTCCTAGATAAAATCAGTGAGTTGTTAGATTAATCAAGGCCTGTAAATAGATTTGATTAGAGTAATCAGATTATACCTTTGCAAACTGTCTGGGGAATTCACATCTTCCTCATACAACGTGGGCTGCTCCAACAGTGTTCCTATAGGAAAGAAAGTACTCACTTACAAAATGCATTGCAATGCATTCAGTGCTCCATTTGAAAACAGATGGCGCATTAGACTTGTTAATATGTAATACTAACCCAACACCCAAGACTTCTCTTTTCCAGGACCAGCTCTGCATGGATCTCTGTACAACTCAAACAGAGAATGATTTTGTTCCAACGTGTCATCTACAACACAATTAGAGAATAGGTTACAAAAGGATAATGATTAATACATAAAAACCAAGGTAATACCATAGTTCATAAATAACAAAACGCACCAGGAGAACAGTTGTCAAAGTTAAAATCTCCACAGAGAACATCAAACACCACATCTTCATCTGGAAGAGTGTTTGCTGCTTGAAAATCTGCAATCCACTTAGTTACCATATCTAACTGTATACAACGAATTTCTCCTTCACCTGTAAATACACAGACTTATTATATCCTACATTTAAAAAAGCTTCAGCATTAAAATTTTTGCTGACAAAAAGTCTTATCTATTAAAATGCCTTTTCAAAGTATTATACAATTTGGGTGTATTTAAAGGCTCACACACAAACAAACCTATAGTAAAACTGTGGCGAAACTAGGACTAGAACTTTATACTTGCCTTCAGGGGCGTGAAGATGTGTGCAATTAAAAAATCCAACCACATCCTTTTGTCCTTCATTCTTCCCAATAAGCAGCTACACAAATTAAAATATTTGTTTACATTTAAAAAAAAAAAGGTACAAGCAAAAATGACAAATTTTAACATAATAATTGATCAGTATTTAAAAGTAGTGGTTCTCCACTGGTGGGTCTGAAATTAATTCTAAATTTGTGCTGGGCCTTTGCCAAAAATAAGTTGATGAATGATTCTGTCAATAGTGGTTGAATCAACAATACTCTACAAACTAAAACTACTGAAATGCAATGACTATAAAAAAAAAAGGTTCAAATGCAAAATGTTGATCATTTTTCTTATTTTCTGGGGAGCAGTGGGTTGTCATGTCAGTTAAAATTGGTCTTGGTTACACCAGAAGTGAAACACTTTATTAAATTATGTTACCTTTGTGGCCAACAGTCCTTTTGCAGCTAGTGCATCCTCCCCGCGGCTATTTGGGAAAAAGTGGTACTGAGCCTGCAGCACTGGGAAGCGACTCGCAATAAACAAGCCACTGTTAAAGAATTTGAAAGTGGAGCATGTGCATGGAGGCTGGCAGGCGTACACCCCAACATCATATAAAATATGTCCAAACACTGGCTTAAGTGCATTTATGAGCTTTTGTGCTGCTCTTTTATCAAACACCTCTTCCAGACAGACTACATCCAAATTAGTTGGAAATAATGATGATACTTCCCAGATTACATTATCCTCTGTGCTCTGGCCTCGACTGAGTAGAGCAGGGGGTCCGTCTTGCTGGTTGGAATTTTGATTTGAATTTAGTGGGGTAGTTGGAGAGTCTGTCAATTGTTCGTCCGTGTCATTGCCTGGTACGACTGCCTCCACGCTTGAAGGCTGTGAAGCTGTGCAGTGATTGTCAGTGGAGCCATAGTTACCATCTGCTTGAGCTATTTGTTTACTTGCAGCCTCAGAACATGGTGAGTTAGCGTCAGAGAGTATGCTTACAGAGGGGCTGAGGGTGCCACAGCTGCTCGGAGACTCTACAATGATACGAATTTGTGGGCGATGAACACTATGTGCAATACGTTGACCAATAGCCGTTGCTCTGCGCTGTGTGTGCCCAAGGTTGTTGAAGCGAGCCAGACTGTCCGGTAAAAGACACAAATTAGCAGTGGCAAATCCAAATGAGGTCTTCTCTGTCAATTTGAAGTTGCTCTCTTTTTTTGAGATTTTTGTTTCTTTATGGTAAGAAAATGGTCTACGACAAGCCTGAAGCGGTGCCCATAGTAAGAAGCCAATGAAGGCAAAGGGACACGCAATCAGAAAAAGAATAAAAAAGAAGATTGAGCCAAAAAAAACTTCTAGAGGACGAAGGTAACATTCCTGCTCCTCACGCTGATCTGCCTCCAAAGTTGTGGACTTCCATGAGGCAATAAACCGATCCAAAAACCAGAAACAAGGTGCAATTAGTACCCAGCTTATTGCATGGATCGCTGCAACAAACCAGTTGGGAAAAGGAGACGTTCTCAGGGCCATACCCCTCCCTTAGACAACAATGTGAAGAAAAATCATTCCACGTCTAGCTCTTTTTCCTTGGTGTCCGGTGAAACAGAGGTGGCTAAAATAAAGCAAAAAAATATTTTACAATATTAAGTTGTTTACCACAAACACAAGTCTATGCAGGTAGATATGGATGTAATGTAGGTATAGGTAATGTTCCAACTGAAGCATGTACTGACACGTTGGCAGTGAAAAACAAGATCTTGTTTGCTTAAAAGTTTAGCAAGGCTTCCTGGTGGGTACTGTAAGACTACTGGGGAAAATCAGCTGTTTAATTCATAGATCTGCACTAGTATGACACATAATTGTCAAAACTACACAATGTAAATAAGCAGAGAAGCTGGGCAATTTCAGAGTATCCGACTGCACCATTGCACAGAGCATAGTTTAAAATCTCACCCTCATTTAATTACAGACATAGATAAATAATTGTACATTAAGCAGTACAGAATCATCAAATGATCACAAATCGACATTGAGGTCATTTCAAAGCTGACCAATTTGAAGATTAATAATTATATTGATATTGTGCTGTGTATTTTGATGAAGCACAGAGTTGCTGCATGTTAAAAAAAAACAAAAACAAAAACAAAGTCCAACCTTCCATTATGATCATTAAATTCACAAAGGCTTCAAGGGAGAGGCAATCTAACCTAGCCACTGCCCTAAGTCACTGCAAGTAAAGAGCTGCTGTAAACGAGGTTAGCTGTTCAAAAGGTGAGCTATGCTAGAAATGTCCTAAACACACGTGATGCAATAGTGGTTGGTGTTAGATCGCACAGATTAGAATAACGCAGTCTTTTTATGTAAGGTGTGTTTCTGAATCTTGATCAGCGCTAGCTACGAGTCACCTGTCCTGTCCAGATGGTGCAGTGCTAGCAACTTCAGACACACCAAACTCAACGTGGCATCCTCGGATCTCTCTTACCTTGGCTCGTACCCGGCTGTGGATGCTGGCGTTTATAAAGTGACTTAATTTAGGCTCATATTTAGCAGGGTGTAGTTGATTTTTTTAAAACTCCCAGCCTGAACAGAGATAGGCGGATGTATTTCTGGAGGGGTTTGAACGTCCCGTCTTCTGTAAGCCCCGCCCCCTCTGCGCTTGTCAATGGAGCTTTTTTTTTTTTTTTCCACAGTCTAGACAGAGTGGCCCAGCATTATGAATAGATTTAATTTCAAAAGCGGAAAAAATAGATAAAAGCTCGCAATCCAAGCTAAGTACACAAGTATGGGTAAAATACGATTTGGTATGTCACTTATCCATGTCTTTTAATACCTACAGAGAACTCCTACAAGCCATGTCCTTTACTTACATAGGACTCGGCCAGTATACAATATTCAGGTTTGTTGTAGTACTTTTAGATATGTCAACTGACAACTATTGGTATTTCACGTTTTACAGCTTAAAATAATATAATTGTGTAGAACAACAGCTCTGCGTTTTTGTGTAGAAGACCACAGTTGCCAGTAGAGGGCGGCAAAGGTCTTGCCCTGTATCACACACAGCGATTTGTGAAGCAGTTTAAATGAGGCTAGAAGAAATAGCTGCAGGTTTCAAGGTTGATATCTTAGTTTTTAGGATTATGTTGATACAAAGAGAGAAGACTTTGGTATAAGTCTATTACAACAATAATCACTATTACAAATATTCAGGATAACAAGCCCTGAGCGGTTATTGCCTAAAGCTATCACACCTTTGATATTTAGTAAATATTTACAATGTGAGACATTTAATTTAGGCTACTATATTTTATATAGAATTTATTTATATAGATATTTTGATTTGTTTATGTTTATGGATCCCTGGGCAAATCTACCACAAGAGAAGGGGTTTCTCATCCATCACAGCCAGCTCATGGAGACACTCCAGTAACAGCACCAGGTCTTTTTGGAGTTTTAAAGGAGCTGTGGTCTCAATTACACTCCTCAAAAAGTTGGGATCAAGATAGTCCACTTCCTGTGAGCTTCCTAGTGCAGGTCTTGTCTGCAGAATCCCATACGTGTTCACAATAAATTCGGAAAACTGAGGATGCAGCGTGATCTTGTACCCTTTTCTACTCAATATTTCCTTGATTTTTTCATATCTTTCATTCAGGTGATGTCTATAAGCCTCGTCCACTTTTCCTGTCAGAGGATGCGTGCTGACCTGTAGAGAGGGTTCATCATTACTAAAGGTTCATTGTGTAACTTTTTAAGGGTTGGCTATCTGCTTGTCTCCATGGAGATGTTATTGCTTTGCCTGGTATGCTTCACAGTACTGAACTTATACTTAATTAACACTTATCTATATTGCATTTATTCAATTACAGGTGTTTACATTAAATATTTATTTAACTATATAGTATAATGTGTAATAATGCCATACTGTACAGAACATAGTGTAAGTTACATTTCTCACCTCAGTAATCTTGCTGGGTATGTTTGTCACGGTGTATCCATAGAACCTCTTGTTACTTCGGAAAATGTAGCAAAGAATTTTCCAGTCTAACTGATAGGCAATCTCTCCCAGCAGTTTTTCACGCTGTTCTGTAGAAAAAGAAGAAAACAAAGTTATAATGTGGAAGAGAGAGCACATAAGGTTCACATATACATTGACTGAATGCAGCTGTAGAGTTATGGATCTATAATAAGATTTTATTATAGTTCTATGGGTGCAGTCATCAGATCTGTGTTAGCTAGTTCCTTAGCTAGCCTCTTAAAGGGTTTCCATGGACACGGGAAAAACAAACAACTAATTTCACAAAATCCAACAATTTCTTACTTGTGTCAAAAACTGCTCAGTGTGTGATCCATGTAGCTCCAAGAAACACAAAACATTTACATATTTAAAAAGTTCTGATTTTGAAACCATTTGTTGTCTGACTGCCCTGGCTGACAGCACAAAGGAGGAGATGCCATCATACATTAAAAACCTGAAAATATGAATATGATTTGAACAAACCTTTGATGAACCCCAGATGATCTTGACTGCCAAATCCTGTGTCTTTGCTTTCCACGTAACTCAAGCTCTCAAACAATGTTTTTAAATTGTCTGGAGATGATGTGCGATGTGGCTGTAAACCTGCTTTGAACTGCTCCTCATTGATGATGGACTGCTGATTTGAGACTCTGGTGAATGAGGGTGATCCAACTAAAACACATAAAACAAAAGATAATAGGAGTAAATGAGCAGACAAATGTGAAACAACTTTAATTAGCTAGGTGCCAAAATGGGAACACAAACTTACTGGGTAGTGTTGTGCCCTCTGGAGTGGTGCTGTCAGTCCTTTGCAGATTACTTGTTAGTCGATTGTTTTCATTGATTAAGCATCGCATTGATATTTTCAGATTCTCATTTTCGCGAACAAGTTTCTCATTTCTTAACAGAATACTTTCCATTTTGGTCCTCTAAATTTTACAGCAACCCAACCCAGAGATCCAGCCAAACGTTTGTAACGAAGTGCATCATTTAAATCAAATCAGCATAACAACATTCAAGACACTGATTCTTTAGATTGATGAAGATTCAAACAGAAATGTAATATTTTATGTAGTTTTAAAAAGTAAATTAAATATATCCAATACAAAATGTAGACAAGAGGTCATAGAGAATTTTGATATCTTAATTACCAACTGAGATGAATAACAAATAATTAATACAACATGTTATATACTTTCTTTAGTTCTACTTTATTATGCCCGTACGGAAATTTGTCCTGTGCATTTAACCCATCTTTCATTGTCACTGGGGCATCTACTGCACCTTTAAACTTGATGAAGAAAATGGTCAAAAATAACACACTAAAGACAGACATTATGCTGAACCAGATACTGGAGGTCTTTTCACCTTTGACCTATTGTTTGACTACAGGAACCACAAAGGATGGAGGGGAAGAGGGAGCCATCCAGGAGGGGCTGCACTTTGTGCCCTGCCCACAAGAGGGTCTGCTACACAATTTTTTCAGTGCACAAACATGCCCTGGTGCGTGGTGATAATTTTGACATCTTATTTTTGTATTAAAAACCTTTTCAAACATACTTCACTGAAAAGAACTACCAGTAAAAATTTGAATACACTTTCTTTTATTTAACAAAATACCCATTGTTTTTGTCATGCATTACCAAGAGCAAGGTGTAAGATGACCGTGCTTTTAAAACATTGAAATAGTTCACAATAGTTTCACATACAGTATAAAAAGAGTTGTAAAAGGATTAAGAATTTCACTAAGAAAAGGTAGGCTACAGAAAAGAGAAAATAACTACATGTTGTTGTTTATACATATTAAAGCTTTGTTTTTGTGCTCCTGGTTTACAACAGCCGGGACTAACCCTTACACAGAGGGCTGTCTGAACACAAGGTTTTGTTTCTGAAAGGCTCATAATAAATACATAAATAGTCTAATTTAAAAGGCACATTCGGTCAGAAGTGCATTGTCAAAATGTACATTTTACATACAGTGAGCTGAATAACAGCTTAAACTTCAGCTGAAATTAAAGGGAAACATCAAGGCAATTGGTGCTGTTGCCAATAGAATGTGTAATAATATTATATGCCACTTCATATTAAATAATATACTTAACACTGACATACACTTGTAATTCAATAACCTAAAACCATCAGCAACTAAAACCATCAGAGGAAATTATCCTTAAGATTGAAGCTATGGGATGAAGCCTGATGTATAACATGTGTCCATAACTATACTTTAAATACCATAAATTAATTCAGAGGTTTGAGTTAACAAAACTCATCATATTCTGAAATTAAATTAAATAATTTACCAGTAAATAAATATTAAATATGTTACACATGTACTGGTGATGAAATACAGCTTCCAGCTGAGTAAAATGTTCAGTGACTCTCCAGAGATTGTCCAAACTCTTTGGTAGAAGGAGCACTAGCTCCTACTTTCTATACTATAAACTGCATTAAAACAGTTTTACTGAATGCGATCGGACTGGAGCTGCTGAGGCTGGTACTGGCTGAAGGCTGCAGCAGCCCCTGGTGTGGCGGCCGTGGCAAGGGGCTGCTGAACAGCGTACCCGTATCCCGCTGTGGTCATGTAGCTGGTTGGAGCCGGAGAGGCGGCGTATGGATACTGCTCATAGGCCGCAGCAGCTGCAGCAGCAGCAGTAGCGGCTGCAGAGTACTGGGCGTAAGTGGCTCCTGTGTAGTCCAGATATGGAGAAGTGGCAGCAGCAGCTGTGGCAGAAGCTGCGCTGGGCTGGACATGAGGGATGACCACACTGGGCTGGACAAAGGCCTGAGGGTACACATAGTGCGCAGGAATCCTGTGGACAAACCAACACACAGGGTCAAAGCAATGTCACCACCAGATATGCACCCCTCGCAGAAACTAAACTGGTAAAAACTGAAATCAGGCGCCACAATACGTCAATCCAGTCCCCAGTTTGACACAGCAAATCCATTCATTAAAAAGTGAAAACCCCTACCTAGAAAATGAAACGTTAGGGAAGCAGCAAAACAAAGAAACAGTGCAGCTTTTAATCCCTGAAGCACTTTAAGTCTGTGACATAGTAGGCCATTAAGAGGAGCACAGGCAAAACCTGCCCCCCAACAGAACACTTCAACTGTCTTTGACACAATGCCGACTGCATGACAACCACCACATATCAAACAATAAAACTGAAAAAAAAAGTGGATCTTAAATCGTCCACACACTGTCAAAGCAACAGCACACGTACAAACATGCCCACACATGTTAATAATTCCTATCTAAAACAAAGCAACACATTAAAAGTCTATTAAAGCACCTATCAAGAGCAGTTAGAGGCAGTTACTTGCAGTGCAGGCAGTGGCACTGTTGCTTTAATGCATTCTCCAGTTTTTAACAAGTTCTTGTTTGGTTGGATTAGGGAAGTTCCATAAAGATGCTGTGTGTTAAGGTTAGAAACATAAAAGCACAGAAAATATAGGTACAGTGAGTGGAGACATCTATTAAGAGCAGAAACACTGTACAACTCAAGCAAAGTACATAAATTGTATTTGCTGGACATTCAGAGCAATGTCACCCCATAAACTAAATCAACCATTCAAGGATTTAAGGGTGTGAAAGTGTGATATCTGTTTATAGGTGGTTCCCTTGCTTCTGGCAGATATGCACCCCCACACAAACAGGCACATGCCAACTTGACTGACAAGGGAGGCTGCAAGCATGCTATTTCTGCTCCCCTTGTCATCCAAAGGACAAGCTGATCTCCTTCAGCACATGACACAACACTCCTCATCTGTAATGGCCTGCTACACCACTAACTGACAAACTTTAAGATGTTTATGTTTTATTCTAATCGTGTTGGAGGAGGCTTGACAATAAAGACACTAGCTCTCTAGAAGCTGTGCTCTTGTTTCAAAGAGTGTAACAGGAGCCAATTTGCATCATGTATTATGCAAACAGAGAGACAAGTTTCAAGGCATGGCCAGGTCAAAAGACATGTATTTTTAAGTTAGAGGACTCTCTCCATACATATTATAAAATGTACACTATTTGAAAGTAGAGCGTGGGTATTTTCTAGAACCCCAAGTACCAAGCTAAATAAAAGTGCTTTGTAAATCACTGGGGCACGTGGGTAATCCCCCCGACGCGACTGGCCAACCTGACAGACGCATGGCTTGGCCCACCTGTTATCCACAGCCCAGTGGCCCTGTCTGTGCCATACATTATTAACAGCACTGAGTGACTCCCATTTTCCATCTGAATTTGAGAGGCCTTAGAGATCTCTATAGCCAACAGCTGCTGCGTGACTGCCTAAGATCTATGTCTCTAGTAAAGTTTTGAGACTATATTTAAACGACGATCAAATGATAAGGATTTATTGCAAGAATAAATAACATATCCATGCTTGTGTCTAAAAACAGTTCAACTTGACTTCATACATTCTGACCTCCAACAACTATATGATTTGGGGATTTTTTCCTACCCTGTTACAGCCTTAATATTTTCTTCACCATCCAAATTTGTTTTTGTAAAACTGGAAAAATGTTAATGATAGAACTGCTGCTCATATATAAAGCTTTAAGTAAAAGCAGTGGGTTAATTTGAAGAAACACACCATCATTGGTAAGAAACAAAAGGAACTCCCACATGCAAGCCAGTTTGGTTTTGTTGCAGGGGACCACTTCTTCATAAGAAGTACCTGATAATATGGAAATTAGCCCCCTTTTAACAACAAAACACAATCAACGTAATGTTAACTGAACGCACTGGGAAAAAGAAAAAAAGACTCCAAGCTAAAGCTCAAATCAATTATTAAAAAAGGGAAAGAGAAATAACATCCCAAAGCAAAGTTACTGTTCAGCTGCCTATAAAACACTGTAAAAAATTGCCCCAAAAATCTAAGGTCCCAACCTCCCCCACTGCAAATAGAAATAAGCACACAAGTTAAACTGAACACCACGTCATACTGAAAACAATGCACACACCAATCTATGAACTAAAGGAAAACTGAAAAAAGACTCCCATGCAACTAGTCACCATTTCAGTGTGTTTGTATGTATACAGGTAACACTTTAGCGCTCAATGCAGCTCAGCTATTCCTCAAATCATCAAGTCCCTTCTTTCATCTGCTATTTTAACCGTTACCGAGCCTGTCAGAGAGAGACAGACAGTCATGAAGACAATGCTGTGGTACTGAGGGCAGAAATAGTATCTTCTTTGACAATAATCAGCCAACACTGAGGCACATGTCAACACTCATTTTCTGATCTTATAGGCTACTGAATAAAAACAATTCAATAGTTATGACAATTTGAACATTAAACATTATACTTTGAATTAACATTTTGTAAAATGAACATACCCATATGGTCTTTGAATAAATGCTGGGTGGATCTGAGGTACACCAAATGCAAACCCTGTAGAACAAGAACACATTGATATAAAATTACTCACAAACATAATAAATTAAAGATATACCAAATGTAATGTTATGCCATTTGTAATAATGATCTCTGCAAATAGATGGGCACTGACCTGGCTGTATGACCCTAGGTTTAGCCCCCAGGTATGCCAAATTCACATTGGCTTTCCTTCCATCTATAATGGGGTTGGGGTCCTTGCAGGCTCGGTCAGCAGAGGCCCGGTCTGCCATAGTGACCTACCAAAAAAAAGACAATTTTTAACACCATAATAAAAATGAAGATTACACCTGTACTGGTAATCTCTAAAAAGTTACTCATAATCTCTGTAAATTTGAGTTAATGCTATTTATTTAGATAGGATATTTCAGTTTCCTGTTAAATTTTTGAGGGGCTTTTTACAATAATTTTTTTTTTTTTTTTAAATAGTTAATTATTGTTGCAACAGTCCCAATTTGCTATAATTCTGACAACTATAAATTAGCTACAATAAACACCACAGTTAAGACCTTTGCATTTAGATCAGTAATTATATGCTCCTCAACACCTATATTAAGAGAAAATACAAACGTCTAGCATTTCATTTGAAAAAGCTTACGAGGAGCAGAAAACATTCCGATTGCAGCTGTTTCTCACGTCACGTGTTATAAATAACTTTTTCTAAAGGAAGATAATGTAAACTTACAAATCCATAACCTCTGGACTTTCCCGTCTGCCGATCTGTGATCACAACCGCCTCCTCGATGTCCCCAAACACCTCAAAATATTTTCGGAGACTCGAGTCGGTGGTGTGATAAGGAAGACCTCCAACGAAGATCTTGGTGAAGGTGGTGTCTTTCTGTGCCGAGTGCATGATGCAAAGTGAATAATAAGTGAAAAATAAAGTTGTGCAAAGGGGAAAAAAAAGGCCGGTATAAACGAGGTCGGTGCACGGAGAGAGGTGTATGTCCCCGCGGCGGCAGTACGTCTCTGGCTGGGCTGAGGCGCGGACACCTGTTGCAGAGGCCGGAGGTTTGGCCCCAGTTGTCAGTTGTCACAGTTAGCTCCACCCAGATCCAGGACAGGACCACCAGGCTGGGACCAGACTGCCAACTGCCCCACAGCTGCTAAAACACTGTCAGGACACGCGGGACACGCGTGACAGCCCAGGTGAAACATTTCCTATTTTATTGTTATTAAAAGTGCATTATGTATCTTTTCGGATGAAGGGATTGCCACCTGCTTGTCTTTGTGGAGATGTAATTACTCTGCCAAGAATGTTCCACAGTATGGCATTACGCCTATTTGTCTCCAGGGAAATGTGACGCTAGGCCCCAAGTTACAGGTCAGGTCCTATCTGTGGAGACACACCCTGCTCACAGAAGAAGGCATGTTTTTCAATGTTTTACAATAAAACCACCTGTGATCGAAGAAATGCAAGGTAGAAAATTTGAATGCCATACTGGGGAACATTTCAGGCAAAGGACATCCCACCAGAAAGTTGAACTGTCCCCCTTTAAATGAGCGTCGATAAAGATTATGGTCCTTTTGCTGATGTCAGATGTCATCATAGCCTATAGCCTATGTTGCCTGGCATGTCCAGAATGATACTGTATCTATTTCTAGTTTTTATACATTATTTAACAATGCATCAGGACTGTGCCTGTAAATGTCTTGGCTGAGGTTCAAGAACTCCTAAAACGTGAATCAACTATACATTTTGCCTTATTGATACTTTGCAGCTGATGATCAACATTCCCTGGGGGTGTGATACTTCTGTAGGGGGGTAGCATCACAGAGGCTCTGGCTGAGGTTTTATTGGACTTGAATCTGAGCTTTATTTCAACACAGTATGACCATAAAGAATTGACTGGAACCACAAAAGGTGAGCTACATGTAGAAGACCCCAAACATGATGTCATTGCAAAGTATGAACACCCTGTTGGAGAGATTACACTGTTTTTGAGATCATTTTAAATAGTTTTAATTATAGGCAATAAACTCATTTTCATTTTGCAGACCTTAACACTCCTACCTCTTCTACAATTGCTCCATAGAAGGGCAGTCTTATCTTGTCTTAAACATAATGTTAAGTTTGTAGTGTAAAAATATAAATTACTAAAGTAACTCAGTGCTCTCCTTTTCTGGGATTGTGTAAGTGAGTTTTCAAATTAAAAAATCCAATTTAAATCCAGAGCACTCACATTATTATATTATTTATGTCAGTTAATGCACCAGTGTGTCTATATCGTTGACACATTTGTGCTGTTTGTTGTTGCGTCAGCTGGTCTTGTTTTCAGAAGCTAATACATCTGACCCATGACACATTCTTCTCCACCCTTCAAAGAAGGGACATTCTAGACTAAACTGTACTATTTTTAAAAACTTCACCAGTAAATAAAACAGACAAAACAGAGATTGGAAATTTTCTATTCATTTTTGATACAATATAAATACAATCCTGTACAATATAGTAAATATTATCTTCAAATACATGAATGTACAGCCCATTTTAGGGTGAGCAGCTTTCTTCATTAAAGTCTCAGGTTACTTACATTTAGCCTACTTGAAACACTTGAATATAGGACTTTTTTCCCAACTGTTCATCACTTCCATAAAATATGTTCTTTTCTTTTGTCTAAAATACTTGATCAAACCCTACTAATAAAGGGCAATATTGCATTTTTACGTACCACTTCAACATTACATTTCATAATAGTTTCTTTACAGATAAAATGAAGACATGATCATACACATGATTTCTGTCATTCAGTTAGATGGATAGACAAAAGATAAAAACCTTTGGACTTTAGGATATCCACAGGACTTAAGAGTTTAGTGTTATAAGCTCAGTGAACTCATTGAGTCATTGTTAACTGAGGAGTCAAAAACAGAAATGTCAGTTTTTACAAAGCCACAGCTATAAGGCATCAGTATATTATCCAGGCTTATTAGTCAGCCAATGAGAATAAAGTGATTTATAACATAAGGTCCTTAAGGCGGCCTATAGTCTTCCACTCAGCTCATTATTATGAGACAGTTACAGAGCTTTCTGCTGACTCTTTCCAGTGCAAGCATCAAAAGGACAGGGACTACGCCACCCACAGTATAATACAGTACTTCCATAGGATTATTTAACTGCAGTCAAACACTGAACAGATTAATCATTTTCAAGGGTACGTGGCATTACCCCATCAATATGGCACAAAGCTTTACACAGATTAGTATACACTTCCATGTTAGTACACTACCAAAACAACAGCAGATAGAACCATAGTTCTTTGGTTGCCCCTGATATCTCATGTTGATGAATATAGCAATGTTTAAAAGCAGTAGTACATTCTTTTACATTTCCCAAAATGTCTCCAGGTTTGATATAAAAATACTTTTTATAATGCTCCAAGATTACTAGGAACTTAGTACATTGCTTAGTCCATAAGCACCCAAAGAGAAAGATGATAATTGCTATAAAAATATAGCGGTATAAAACTTATAAAGCATGTGCATAGTATTTGTTGTGAACAAAGTCTTGAATATAACTTCAATAAAGCACAAGCGACGTAAGCTTCAGAAAGCAAACATCAAAAGAGTGAAAGAGGAGAGGAAGCTTACTCATGTCGGTGTTACTGGACCTAAGAGCCAGCCCAGTCTCTGTCTTTTGGTCCTATCTGATTATAGTGTTTAGCTCCAACTCTGTGGACGGGGGTCCTCTGCTGAGACGAGAGGGTTTCACAAAAACACCGTGGCCTGGGGGACATCGAAAGTAAACTCTGCCCTGGACAGTCCCATTGTGCTTACCTATAAAATAAATTAACAAAATCATTATTATGTACAAATCTTTACTTTAAAATGTTAACATCAAATATTGCTGAAATAACAAATTTTACTGTGCTGCATTAAAATGTGAATATAGAAAAATGCCTAATTATTATTGGATAAAATTGCTATAATTTTCTTTATTCTAATTTCAGATTAGATTCTGACATAAAGTGGGAAATTATTATCTACAACACAAAATATTTGTCTCTTACTGTGTGAATATTTACAAGTCGCCTATGAAGCTTTATGAATAAACAAATAGTTTATAAGGACTAACCAACTGCCAAGTCCAGCTTGACGCCGATCCAGATCCCCTTGGCAAATTCCACCCCTCCGACGTAGTGGACTGTTCCTCTCCTCTTTCCCACCCACACCTGCTCCCCAGGGGCCATCCAGTCAGGCAGCTGGACCGGGGAGCTCTCCTCGCCACTGGAGTCTCCTGAGGGCTCTGCACTGCTGGGGTTTGGGCTGGGGCAGGGACTCCCATGAGGCAGGTCTCCCTGTGCAGGCTCACAGACCGGAGGCTGCCCTCCTCCACTAAGAGGACCACAGGGTGGAGCTATGCAGGATTTCTGCAGCTTTGTTGGTGGGACTGTTGCAGAGGACATTATTAGACTCTGAATGGGGCCTTTGATGGAGGATACTGGACTGCTGACTGGTGTGGTGCCTGATATATTTAAGTCTGAGCAGGACGTCTCTGTGTGCTCTGGGACATTACATGGTTTTGTATCGATATTGTCACTGGTTTTCACATTAACACTGACCATCTTCACTGGTTCCCATATCTCTGTAAATTGTGTTAAACCTTCTCCAGGGCTGTCATCAGCACCTTTAAAGTCACTGAACTCCTGACTGGCACTGAGGATACAGTTAGGAGGCACTGTTTGCTCTTTGTCTGTGCAGTTAGGAATACTGATGGGTGAGGAGGCAGAGTGTTTTGGGGGATTATTACATGTTGTTTCAATGGGAGGAGGCTGGTGCTGTGTTTCACTTATAGCACTTTTACTGAGGTTGCAAGTTTGTCCAGCGGAGCTCAGAGTGTCACAGCCGCTGGCACTATGCAGGTGGTCAGAGCTGACGCTTAAAGGCATGTCAGACAGTGCGTTGCTCAAAGGCACATCGGACAGTGTGGCATTTGAGGCACTGTGAGAGAAGTAGCCGCTTGTGCAGCTGCTGGTTGTTGGACTTCGTGATATTTGTCTCTCTCCACTTCCACCCTCACATCGACTTTCTTTTACGTCTAAATGACCAGACATGGGTCCTTCTTGACTCTCAAGAGTGGCATTATAAATATCAAAGTTTGCAAAGTCCTCTGGGATGTAACTCTGGCAGCAATCCTGAGTTTCCTGGTCCAACTTCTTTATGTCAATATCTGTCTCCTCCTCCTCAGAGTCCTGCTGATGGAATCAGCACCAAGAGACAGTGGATTAGTTCAGAAATAAAAATAAACTATAATAATGTAATAATGTGATGTGATGAGTACTGACATGATCACAGCTGCTCACATTAGAGTCAAATACTGCACTGCATTTACTTAAAATATCAACATACATATTTTCTCCTTAATGTAATATAAATAGATGTTTAACTGCTATTGTATGCACTGTACACCACGTAGCTCTAAGAGCTGAGTATGTGATGTACGTTCATACTTACAGTTGCTCACAATCAAATAATGTACGCTAATTCTGTACATTCACAATGTACAATTTAGACCAAATTATGTTCAGAAATAAGTGAGTTAATTTACGATTAGATCTTTTTCTGAAATGGTTGAGCCCTACTTACAGAGGTGGTTTGCGGCGTGCTGCTGGGGATGGAGGGAGGGATGGAGGAGGTGGGAGACTTGCAGTGGCCCTCACTGCCTGCCCGAGGCCGGGGCCTGGGGCAGTGGAGCTGTGCAGTGCTGTCCACACATGAGCGCATGCTCTGCAGATGGTCAAAACAACACACTCTTCACACACACAACATGCATGGGGTTTGGCAGGCATGTGAGTTAGTGTCATGCAGAATGTAACTTCAAGCATCCAGGACATGTATCTTGTTTTTAGGTATTATATATTCATAGGACTTCACAAATGCAGCGTTAGTTTGGCCAATTCAAGATAAAGGGATTTGTAATGTCACTGAAGCATTAAGTGGGTAGCATTAGACTTAGACTTCGACAAACTTGATTGATCGACAAGGGAAATTACTTGGACACAGTAGCTCACACATACAGCATACACTTAGCATTACAAATCACAAGTGTAGCAGCTCTTGAGCAAGCCATTCCAGTCTGAATTGTTACTGGGAATATTAATTTAAAGATTTGTAGTTTCATGATTTATGTAAATGTGATGATTGAGAGTAAATGATGATGAAAACAGTATAATGTAATAGTACAGTATTATTGTATGGAACATACCTCTTGTCCTAAAAGAGGGCGATATTCCAGGGATTTCTTTACTTTGGTTTCCTCTTTGACGGGCAGCAAAGACTTGAGGAATTTACTAGGCTGGGGGTTAAGAGCTTTAAATGGACTGGAGATAAAGAAACTGGGGCTCTCTGGAACTTGTCCTAAAAATACAATAAACAGTATGTTTCTCTAATGTTATGGCACCAAGGATTGGATTCAGATACTTACCTTGGTTATCCTTCTCTTTCACAGGTGTTGTGCAAAAGAGGCCATCCTGGGTTATGTCAGAGCTGTCTACACAATCAGGGTGTCCCTGTGTGGACAGAGAAATTCAGAAATTATTTTTAGTGCAGCCAACTGATATTTTCATCACATTTCTTCATGTACCTTTAAAAATTCTGTCTATATGTTTTTGTTTCAGCGTAGGCCATTTGGCTCTCTTTTCAAATATTAAGCCTTGTGCTACTATACAATTATCTAATTTTACAGTAACAAAATGTTTCATCTTTACCTTACAATCTTCATCATCACCACAAATAGTGAGGTCCGATTTGCTACATGATGTCTGCAACAAAATCATAGCATACTTAATCTGATTTGTTTTTAATAAGCAGAAGTTTAATATATAGGTTTCTGTACGTTTGGTGTGCTGGTACTCCTTCGTAAATGTCTCCCCTTGGTGGCAAGAGCTTCCTTAACAGTTACAGCCTGCAGAGAAATGCAGTTGCACAAAAGTATGTAAGAATTTAAACATGTTTAAATCCTTAAATTCTCCCATGCTCTCTCAGGGCATTACCTGTCGAAGTCTCTCAAGGCTCAGAATGTTTTCCACCTCCAGAATGCCCCTGGTGTATTTCTCTATGTACGTCTCACCATCTGGACTCTCCTCATTGTCCCCACGCGCTGCCATAAGAGCCAGTGTCTCCCTCTCCTCCGGCTCCTCTGAAGCCTGTTATACAAGTCACATGTGATCCCCAAAGTTCTTCAAATCAACACAATAAAAGAAACTGGACAAACCTTTGGTATGTTTGAGACAATCTCGTATGTCACACCACAGATGGAAAGTGCATTCCTCAAAGACATTCTGCGCTTAAGGCTTTGAGTAAAACTCTGAAAGAAAATATTGACATAAAAAGATATTTGTTTTTTTTCCACTGAAATAGCACATATTTTTGCCCTATATTCACCTGTTTGTTATAAATGTTGACAGCTATCCTCTTGCGGAGGACCAACTCCATAGAGGCAGGGTGGCTGAGCTGCACAGTGGCTTTGATGATTAGATAGATGCGCTCGTTTTGGGAGGTAACCCTGTTCAGGTGCACGGAGTCATGGATGGAGGAGTCCCAAGAGCACACAGCCAACACCTGGAGAGGAGAGAATAGAGAATAGATTAATTTGTATAGCTCAACTAGAAAACACATTAACAGGAAAAAATGCATGCAATACTTCAAACAGGAGGTGAGCTATTACTGTAGCCACCACTAGAGGGCTGTAAAGTGCAAACATGTACTCACCTCCTCATCGCTGTGCCTGATGATCGGGAGGTAGTAGAACTGGCTTCCATGCTCTTTAGGCAGAATCGAGTTGACACCAGCAGCATGTGGACCAGAGAGCTGTTCATTTATTGTCAAATTGTCAGCTGTAAATAAAAAACTGAGTTATCAAACAAAAAAATAATAATATTCTAAAAGCATTCACACGAGGAGTTTTGACTTACCATTTAGATCCAAGAAAAGAACAGGAATATGCCCTTCCATTCCAGCAGGTGGGGTCCTGCAAATTCAAGAGTTGAAAATTTTACCAGTTGCTGTCTGTCACCAACCAACAAGACTTCTAAAATGTCATTAAATGTATTAGGCAATGATTTTTACCAGTCAGCAGGAGCTCCAGGGATACCACTCCCGGGGGCAGGCACCAGAACAGCATTTCTCTCTTCAGTTAGACCAACCCACTGCTCAACCAACCGCGCTTCTCGCTCAACATCCTCCTCTGATTTTTCTAAACATAAAAAGTAACAAATTATTAAAATTATCATTAAAGAATTGCAAAATACATTTTTATTTCACTATTACAAATAATTAATAAAACCCCAAACTCACTGTATACAAACTGTAATTTCTATGTTTTGTGTTATGTATTATTATAAACTTTTGTATTAAGTTGACTCTGAATTCCACCATTAACAGAATAACCCAAAAGCAGCCTAACTCCACTAAACCCTATTATAAATGAACAAAACAAATAATCATGCACTTATGTATTTAGTTAGTATCATGTTAATTATTAAAGCCTTTACAGTTCAGGGACTAAAGTTTACCATGTTTGTTCATGATTTTCTTGATTTGTTCATCAAGATATTCCCTTCGCTTGATCAGAGCCTCGGACCACCGCTCTCGAACACAGTTAAGATCTTCTTCCTGAGTTGACACAAAGAAGCCTCAGTCAGTCTCAGCTAAAATGCAGGCCAACAATATCTAACAGTTGGCAGCAATGTATTAGTGTGTAAGCCTTGAGAAATCAAATAAGACCCCAAGTCATAAGACCACACAAGTTCAAAAAAATCCTTTGAACCATTTGCATATGGTTGAGTCAATCCTGTTTTAAAGCAGCACTATGCAACTTTTCTGGTGGGAGGTCTGCTGCCTGCTTATCCTGGGAGATCTGCCTGGAATATTCCACAGTATGATACTAAACATATCTATCTCCATGGAGGCAAGAATGTACCAATGCCACCAAGTCCAGTTACAGGTCAGAGGCTCACAGTAAGAATGTTCATATCTTTCATGGCATTTTTAAGCAATTAAAAACTCCTCTGATTAAATGGTAGTGTCACAGTGTTGATCATTCAAGGTAAAGCAGTTGGTGGTTTTCAGTTTTTCCACCAGAAAAGTTACACACTGTGCCTTTAACAAAAAGGGTCTAATTTAAACCCTAGTAAGTGTATCCTTTTCTTGACACCCAGCTTGAATTACTTCTGTAAATAATGTATAGGCCACACTGAGTGATGCTTGGCAATAACTGAAAAAAGGCACTTCAACCATGCAAAATGTGAGAATTCATGCAGCCATGCAGTGTCCTTGTGATTGTTTGTTGAGTGACAGCATTAGTAAAACAACAGGGAAAAAGCAGGACCTCTGACAAAACAGCCCTGCCTTTGGTGAGAGCATTTTCAGAAGAATGGTTGGTGCGCTTGATAATTACACAGTTAGAAACATCCATGTGTGCAGCTGGCGTTTAATAAGACACTCCATAAGAGACACGCTGCCTTCTGCTCAGCAACAAAACAACTCTCAAACACACAACTGGTTTGTTTCATGCTGCAGTGTGACCTAAAGGGGCAGTAGCATTTGGTACCTGATAACTATCCATATCGTCTTCAGCCTCTCTCTGGTAGGAGAGAACACACTCATTTAATGTAAGGAATAATGAACCAAGCAATTTCAATTACACCCAGAATATAGGTGGAAGATATACCGAAAATTAATAATTGGTAATTGTTGAATTAAAAAATGTGGATATAGAGAATATCTTCTACAAACAAAACCAAAAAAGGGTAAAAAAGTGACATTTCTGCATTCATTCACCCTTTATGCTAGACTTGAACCTCAACCAAGACATTTACAGGCACATTTTAGCACATTCCTGATGCAGTGTTAAATATCTGAATATCATATCATGAGGTAATGCAAAAAATATTGCCACATTGTCGAAGAGATACTAAGTTGCGATTGTGATTTGACAAACCTGGTAGCTATCGAGAGGTCTCTGCAGCCTGGTGGAGCGTGCTGACACACAGCCGATGGAGACCGAGAGCACAGCCTCCACGAGCAGAGGCAGAGTCCCCGAGTTCTGCACTGGCTTGACACAGACCTGCAATCGCCTGGAGTGACCCTGTGAACAACAATCTCTCATTATAAAGGCGACATAAAAAAGTGATGTCTTTTTTATGTCAAAAGGTGATGCCATGTCATGTATTTTTTTAGGAATAACTAATAAATAAAGGGGACATATGTGAAATTAGATTTTTAGGAGCTTTTAACAGTGTAGCGGTGTTTCTTCATCATTAACTTACTCTGGGTTGTATTTTGATTGACCTATCTTCACCCACTGCGCTGTACTAATTGCGATTATTTAAAAAAAAATTATTCTGGGTCATACGGTACAGTTAATAAATGTTACAAGGCCATCTTTAACAGTAAAACAAGTGATTGAAAATCTACTGCTTGTTTCAATGTAATTCTGCTATGTAGAGTCAATAAACCTGTCTCTATTACGAAGCCAATTTAGAAAAATATTACGGTTTACAAGGAACAAAATGAAAATTAATGATCTACGCATGTTACTGTTTTATAATAAATATCCATAAAAAATAACAATATATATTTCACTTCAGAAATTAAAGTAGAATAATTTCAGAACAAAGCTGTCATACCTGCCGGAGTTGGAAGACCCCTCCAGTGCTCACGTCTTTAGCCGGGAGCATCTCCACAGACGAGTACTCTCCCTGCTCATTCAGCTCTTGAATGGATGTCCACAGCTCAATTCTGCGAGACACTTCTCTCCACCTTCAGCAAAAAGTGAGGTCAGTTTTTGTTTGGATGAAGAGACAATTCAGAGAAAAATCTCATCTGTTTGCATTAGTTTTTCATTGGCTATGTTAAAAAAAAAATCTGATCATTATCTGATTTCTGTAGTTATCAGATTACTGAAATGTCATGAAAACAGTTACATCTTACATCTAATCTGAGTTATTTCTGATTGTTCAAGCCTGTGCAGGAAAATAATACATAAAAGGGAAAACAAATGTGGTAAAGGCAAATATGTTAAAGAGTTATTTTAAAATTCATGGTACTGTTTGATATTTATTTAAGAGACACATGTCCCCAGGTGTTTTTTGCAGGTAAACACACACAACTTTAAAAAAAAAAATGTTTACATTGTTTTATATTGCACCCTTTTGCCGAAGCACACTCCTAGTCTGGGAATTGTGTTCACTTACAGTGGCAATAAAGTGTTTTCTGGTACTGAAAACAAAACATGTACCTGTCTCTAAGTGTTTGGGTTTTAGCCTCAAGTCCTTCTAACTCCCAGGGTGAGTGTCCATTCCCAGCGCAGCGATGGCCCCACACCTCAATGGTCAAAGCGCCATCAGATATGAACTCCAGGAACTCATCGGTCACATGTACAACAAAGTCCTGGATAGAAACAAGCACAAGAAACTCAATCAATAACTTCTCAAGGGGCAATTTAGAGGTACACTATGTAACTTTTCTGGCTGGGAGTTTGCTACCTGCTTCTCCATGAAGATCGTATTACTTTGACTGGGATGTTTGGTGCATACATACATCTTGCATCAAATCAATTACAGGTGTCTTTATTGCTCAAAACACTTTAAAAAACATGCATTCTTCTCTGAGTGGGGTCATTTCTCCACAGATCTGACATGTAACTTGGCCTGTTTGTGTCAACTGCTTGTCTAAATGGAGATAGGTAAGTTTAATGCAATACTGTGGGAATCTGGAGGTGTTCCAATAACATCTGCCTAGAAACAAGGAAGTGATGGGCCCAGCACCAGAAATGTTACATAGCAGCTTTAGGCACTTTGATCAGTTACATGAAAATATAATAACTCAAATAAAGGTCTTGCTGCAGTTTAACAGTAATATGTGGCTGTTATAATGTATTTTTACCTTGGAGTGATCAAACTGCACAGTGAATTGAGCGTCTGGGCCTCTGGGCTGGTTGTCTGTCCGGACTGACCATGGGAGGGGCCACAGTGGGCTCTCCTTGTTCCCAAAATGTGTACTGACAGAATACAAAGTGCGACAGGTTGAAAGGTAGACCAGTGGCCTCTCTAATTCTTATCTGTGAAAAACAAAATCCATTGCATTGGTTTTCATTGAAACACAAATAAAGCATTAAAATGTTTTTCATTAGGTTGCTTCTTACCCTACAGGTCAGTCTCTTTGCCATGTGAACAATCTCCCCATTAGTATCCATGACTTCAAAGCAAGTACTTTCACTTGAGTTTTCTGAAGAGTCATCTCCCCCACACAGGCGCTCTGGTAATGCTCCACTGACGCGCATTATTTCTATGTGCAGCCTACCAGCTACCTGTGCATTTAATGAAAGAAAAAATAGACCAAATTACTTATGTTTGCTGCTGTGTATTCTTTTCTTGTGGTGGTTGTGAGCTTACCTCTCCCTGCTGACTGATGATAGGTACGGCATAATGCAGTTTAATGTCATGGAAAAGGCACTCAAGGAAGATGTTGGCGACTCCGATCAAGTTGTGATTCTCTTGGGCCTCATAAAATGGATCACAGTGTTTGCTGTTTGGCTTTACACACTGCAAGATATAACAAAATGCTAGTTAATAAATTCTGTTTTGTTATTTATCCAAACCAATCCACTTACAAACAAAGCCTCCCTATCTACCGATCTTTATCTTGTTTCTCTTTCATAATTTTTACCTTCTCTGCTGTGCCATCCTTCCAGTCCCTATAGTGGTCCCTCATGTCCACCAGTTTATTCTCAAGCTTTTCAATGGTCCACACTTGGGTTCCCTTCCCTTTCCTCCGCACCTGAATGGCTGGTTCACTTACTATGGCTCCATGCTGTAATAAAATAATAAGGTACAATTAATCATAACATTTAAAACTATTACAAATGATAAAATCTGCAAAATAAGCATAATTTATTTACCTTACGATTAGCACTAAGGTTAGCAGCAGGAATTTGAAGGGTGACTTGGTAGTCCGTCAGTTTCTTCATCTCTTCTGCCAGAAAGTTTGCTTCTCGCACCAAAGCGTTGGCTTTCACAACTTGCTCTTGAAGCCGAGAGAGACTTTGACGAAAGAGCTCATCCCTGTTACAAAATTGCATGAATAAAGCAGTCATCTTTTATTGTATTTATATTAAGGAACAAAACTTTTCTCGTTTTGACACAGGCCAGTCGTTCTCAATGACCCAATCTTGTGTCTTGTCCTATCTGTTATTTATATATTCTTAAGGCTCAATCATTGGTTCTGGTTTGGACCCATGTTGAATTCTTATGTAGATTTTGTCTTGTCCTGGTTTAGTCTATGTTTTGTTACAGATTAAGGCCTAGGTTTAGTCCCAGTTTCGATGTGGTGAAAGCATGCTCATATGTTCATTCATTCACCTCTCCTCAGTCCACAGGCGGATCTTGCTGTGCTGGGCAGTCGTTGGGAACATGAGGCGCTCGCTGCTGCTGCGGTGGTGTTGCAGTGTTTTTTCGGGGGACAGCTGTTGCCGTAGTGACTCTAGCTCTCGTTCATACATCATCCTCTGTTCTTCCAGTGCAGTCCTCTTCTCCTCCAGATACTGTTTCTCCAGCACTTGCACCACATTCTGCATCGGGTCTGGACACAAACACAGCCCTTATCAGAGACTACAGACTTTTTATGGAAATAAATATTAATTTCAGTAGCTTTGACTAGTTAGAGATTTAGTAAAGATTTATCTACATAGTGGACCAAGATGACTTCTTACGGGTTGGTTCAGATATTTAACTTACAACACTGGTAGATTGAATTTCTTATATCAAGTGAAAATTTCATGAAACTACTAAAACGCAGATCCAAAAATTCTAGTATTTCTTTTAACAAATACTATAGGAGACTAGGGTATCTCACACCTGATTTTATAACATATATTGAAAAAAACAGAACAATAAAATGCTATATCCAATTATTCTTTATTCACATCATTCAAAAAGAATTTGAAATAATTAAACAAAGCTTACAGTTAACTTATTTACTCAAAATCTAGGTCAGTAATTCACTCAAAGGCTCTATGTGCCACCATAGTCTGAGCAGAAATCAGGGCACATTTTTACATGAAGTAAAGCAAAGGATGATAATATGATGATAATACCATTGTTTCCCAGAGTCTTCATGATAACTTCCATCTGAGCGAACTCGTAGCTGTAGTCCTGCTCTGAAGATGCCTCACTGGCTGTTTCCACATCAACCTCAATAAAACTCTCACGTGGTGACGCTCTCTCCAGATCTTTCAAACGGTCTCGTCGCTTTC